AATTTGAAGCAGCGAGCATTTAATCAAAGCAATGAGAAATTTCGCTGAAATAATATTTTATGCTACAAAAGTAGGTTTTTGTACAAACAAACATTTTCCAAAACAAATCGTCTGTAAAATATCGCCCTTTTCAACTGCTCATAGGAATATTCAAATCTGAGTGGATCTTAGTGTAAACAATGCAACACAAAGAAATACATAAAAGTGACATAAAATCCTGAGCATCGGAATAACTGTAACGTTCTATTATCTTGTGACACAAAGACAACATTTGTCTTGTCTCTAGACTGCTTGTCTGATGGCAGTACTTTAACCGCCCTGTAGCCCGGATGTTGTGACCGATGGAAGTTTGTCCACTGCATGAGCTCCGAGAGGGCTTAAGATAAGTATGTGTTACTGCTGTCAGCGTTCCAAATTGTTTCCTCAATTTGTACATGAATACAAAAGAAGTTGTCCGGCGGTAATGAACAATTCTGAAAGCAAAAAGGCAACAATATCACCGGAGTTCGGAAAACCACGAGATACAACACATGACGGTCCCGCCAAGTGCCCAGTTCATTTTCACCCATTGTCTAAAGGAAACAGCTACACCACGTTAAATCCCATTCATCTTTTCAAATAAATAACCAATCTGTGCTATAAATATACAGTATATGTATACAAAAAGCAAACTCGGCTACCCAGACATATTTTTCATGCTGTAAGTGAATATTGCGAGGTGACACGGACATGCGCAGTTCTGTACTTAGCTACAGAGCTTTGAGGACTATAAATCTCAGAGACAGGCAAGGAATCAGCTATGTGGCAGTTTTCTGGTGTTGTGTACCAAGTGCCTGTTATATTGAGGGTGAAACACAAGAATGTAGCTACAGGTGGTAACATTTACTTAATGATTCCGGGTATCCTGCCACCTAGGCAAAATGGCGACCGGCACAAGAGACGCTATATGTTACAGCAAGATGTGATAACTAAGGACTGTGTGTGTTTCCTGTTAAAGGAGAACACTAGACAATGGCAATAATTTGCTGGGTGAAAGATAAAATCATCAGAAACATGTGCTCCAATGTTTAACATTCAAACATATGGTTATTAATGTTTTAATCGCGAAAACAGTTTCTGTTGTCTGAGCTTCGGCCATTATGCATATTTCGCTGGAACTCACGTGACATTTCCGCTCGTGACATCATATGCGACTAGAGTCCGCCATATTGCCAAAGACCAAGCGCTACAGTAGTACAAAGTGAGTTGTTTCTGTATTGCGTTGCCTGGGGGTGCACGGCATCATCGAACAGTGGAAAGAGCCACCATTTCTTTCATTTTCCAAGTAAAAAGAGAAATGTTCCGATCGAGTCGGGCACATATGCGAGAGACATGCACACATGGGGTATGAAAAATCAAAAGCTACGCTGAAGAAGGAAGCAGTACCCACGAGATTTATACTATATATACTCAGTAACAAAAGTTTAGCAACACCCAAATCTTGGCAATTGTAAACTCCAGAAATGTTATTCTGAAGTCAGTAATGTCTGGTAAGAACTGGCATGTCACATCGCACAAACATACCAAATTGGGCTGTACAAAACGCACGTGCATCCCGTGAGCTACACTGCACGTAATTTAACAGAATATGGGTCCCACTTTAATTCAATCTTTAAAATCATTTTGAAAACAATTGTACACGTCATAACTGCTTACTGTCAGATAAAAAAACCCACCACATCACAAGGTTGTAACACAAATATGGGGCGTCAGAGGGGAATGCCAGAAAATGCCAGACAAGAAGCCATTTGAATGCTGAGAGCAGGGATGAGCTTACGACAGGCTGCCAGACATTTTCAGGTTCACCACAGTACCATTTCCCGTCTCCAGTCACGCCAGGCACAAACTGGAACAGTGAAAGACCGCCCACGCAGTACTACAGACCTCGGAAAACGACACCACGTGAAGATCGTTATCTTGTGAGGTCATCACGTCGCAACAGATTTGCCAGTGCACCAGATCTTGCTCAAAGTCTTCGGCGGACTACAGGAACACGAGTGCATCCGCAGCTCGTCCGTAATCGTCTCCGTTCTGCTGGGCTCCATGCCCATCGTCCCCTCATCGTACCATTAACGCCACGTCATGTTCAAGAACGGTTAAAATGGACGCGTGCCCATCAAAGATGGCGTCTTGCTCAGTGGAAGGAAGTTCTTTTTAGTGACGAATCGCGTTTCTGTCTGCAGTTTAGAGATGGCAGATGTCGTGTATGGTGACCTTGAGCAGAACGTTTTCAACCTGATAACGTAACGGAGGGTGACCGTTACGGGATGGAAGTGTCATGGTTTGGGGGGGAAGGGAAATCCATTGAGACGGCAAAACTGATCCGATTGTGCTAAACGACCCCCTTACAGCTCAGCGATATTGCAATCTGGTGATAACGCCAGTGGTCATACCCTTCCTTAGGCAAAGTCACGGACACCTTTTCCAACAAGACAATGCACGTCCACATTCATCTCGCCTGACTCAAAATCTGCTGCAGCACAACATTGACGTCTTAGCATGGCCAGCCAGGTGACCAGACCTTGCCCCAATCGAACATGCCTGGGAAATTCTCTGGGGAAGCTTGCGGAAGAACCATCCTAACATCCAGAATGTCAACGACCTTGGTAATGCCCTTCAGCTGGAATGGGGAAACATCACCCTTTATCAAGTTCGGCAGCTCATGATTAGCATGAGAAAGCGTTGTGTGGCGGTACAGCAAGCTGAGAGCCGACACACTCGATACTGACCTCTTCTTCTTTGTGTGTGTGAATTTCACTGACCCGCACCTCTCACTTTGTAGTGCACCGGCTTTCCATTTTGTAATGACGTCACAACTGTTTGTTTCAGTTTTGTAATCGAAAATGCTCAAAGTAAGGTTTAAAACAATGCCGTGATTCTTATCCTCACCTCTTTCTGTTTATTGGACTGTTTCATTGGGTGTTCCTAAACTTTGGTTACTAACATCATTCCATGTTACAACTTACTGTCATTGGTAGTTTTAAAATAGATTATTGAATCAAGTCCGATTGTGATGAAATAGGGTACTAGTCGAATGGCCTCAGCTACAAAATGTCCGAGCAAATTTGATCAAATTGCTCCGGATTTCTGGTTAAATTGCCCCAGGGTGGTAGTCAAAATGCCCCAATATATTAAAAATAACTATGTGTCATAAATGCATTGTTTTTGTCAACTTTGATATTTTGTTCTTCATATAAAAGTTATATGTATAGTTATGAGTTTACCAATGGAACATTTATCAGAAATATTACTTCCTAATAACCTTTATATGAAGAACATAATATCAAAGTTGACAAACACTATGCATTTGTGATATATATTTAATCATTTTAAATACATTTGACCAAATTAGGATCATTGGGCATTTTGTAGCTGGGGAAGTTCGAGTGGTACCTATGAGATATATATCATCAGTAAGAGATTTCACATAAGCTTGAAAATGTTTCGCTACATAACGTTCGTTCTGGTTTGGAGCCCTTAATGCTATAGTCTACCCGAACACTTGCCGAATACAATGGCAAATCATGAAGTACTTGTTACATTCAATCCCAGACACACTGCAGTCACCAATTTGACACAAAAGGAACTGCAATTACATTTCAAAAACATCTTAATTTAGGGACTGGTCATTTATTTATAGGGGTGGGTAAGCTGGTTGGACTGTATCACATTTTGCTGACAAATAATATTCCTGATAAATTATATGGCCTATATTTCAAATTATTTTGACATTAAGCGGTGCCTCCGTTTCATTTGATTTTTTTTCATCTTTACTGAGAGATTGTCTTGCAAGATGTAAAATGGGATCGTATTGATGCGGTCTAACATCCATTTCAGAAATGACATCAGGAACATCTTTTATTGCTTCAGAATCCATAGACACTGCTAAGTTGTGAGGGTAAAATCAACGAGCAGAAAGCCAGCAGCAGCAGGCATATATGACGCCATGTCACGTGATACCCCTCTGCTCATTAACTATCGAGTGCGTTTTAGCGTGTTTATTGCGATTTTACAAACTCTTTTGTTCAGTTTTAATCACGGAAGGTGACTTTTAGAATGTCTTTACCTCTATGAAAAAAATTGGTAATTCCCTTTTACGCTACATGACGGCGGTCTGACCATAATGATGAACATCGTCCTGGGTAACTTGGATACATTTACATGCCTGATAATCCGATCTATTCACGTCTTACTGTAAGCATGGGCTGGTAAATGCCATTTTATCCGGAGCGGTAACCCAGGACGTATATACTCAAATGCATGATGACCCTCCGTACTATCCCCAGCCTGAAATATTTACACACAACATAACATAACAAGATATTATTCTATAACGAAACATAATTTCATATAATACCCTTATACCATAGCATGTTTAAATTGAGTTCATAGCATGACATAACACCTTTTTAAAATAGAATATGACATAACACAGCAGTGGCCAGCACAACATAACTTTATAACATAACTAAACAAAACTTTATAACAAATTTACACGAGGTTTCAGAATAACTCTATTATAAAACTCCCTGAGTAGCCAACCCTAGTTCTAAAAATGCCACGACAACTCAAAGATTCTGGTGATAGGTCACCGAAAACACAAAATTAATGTGACCAAACTAACATGTATACCTACTCCCAAAAAATATGTACCAATGAACTTGAAGCTTAAGCTGTTCTTAAATGGAATTAATTGATTACAAAGCTCAAACGCCAACGAGCACTGTGTCGATGTGCGAAATGTCGGAAAGCGCACGTTAAATCTCTACATCATCATCACAGTCTGGAATGTCCGCTCAAACAGGTTCCAAAGGGAGCAGCAGTCAAATAGTTACGACAATTATAGGAAGAGATTACTTAAACTGGTCAAATCCTTCATTAGGAAAACAGGTTGTTCACTTCAGAAGGTATACTGTTAGAACCTGGAGATCACAGCTTATGTAACTGTACTTTATCCCCAGAACATGTCCGATACTGAGGATGGCGGTATGGGGGCGGAGGACGTGAACGTGACCCAGATTGGGTCGAAGAATGAGGTTCGGATACAGAAAACAGACATGAGGGACGTCAACATCAACATTATCTTAAACGCCCAGCAGGCTGCCCAGGGTAAGTAGAAACTTACAAATTAACAGACCTAGAACATTTTATTCAAGTCCTTCAATCTCACTTTGTTGTTAAAGAAATGAATTGAAAACTGAATGTTTTTACTCAGTGTAAAAATATGTTTGTGTGTCAGTGTTAGTATTTGATAATATGTCTATGATCCATTATTCATGATCAGAGTCGGGTCCATTTTTTTCCCAAGTGAACTGTTTTAGTCCGAAAGGATAGTTTCTACTGGTTGTGGATTTCTTTGACTGTTGTGGCCTCTTCAGTCGCCCGAACCCCACCTCAGGATCCTCTACCAATAGCAATTTCAAACATGTTATGTGTCTAAATCTAGGATATGCTATTGTTTGACATAAAACGGCTTCAGGTTTGAGAAGCGTGAATGTGGTCTACACCTTTAGAGACATATTGTGGTAGTTTTGGGAAGTGATGATGTCAATGTTATTTATTTACGGTAAGTACTTTTTCCATTTTATTTCATTCTTTGTGTGTTTGTGTCTTTCTGTATTATGAAAGATGATGTTAGAAAGACAGATGGTTTTGACCAGACCATTAAATAAAAGTATCTCATCATTTGACTGTTTTGACTGATGCTGAGAGGTCAAGGTTATTCAGCTAAAATTCAGACATTATCTGGTGATGCCTTGGAGAGCGGCGCTTGTACTGCTGTACCCGACCTCATTACAGAAACAGTGTTCGCCTGAGGTCGCCTGAAGGAATTGAGAAACACATTAAGTACATACAGACAACGGCTGTTTCCAACGCCTCTTTGGGGGGAAACATTTGTTTGAGACATTTATTGTGTGTTTGCAACACCGTCATTAGAATTTCTGTTGGACACTCAGATATTTTGGTTATACATTAAGATATGTTCACTTTTGTTCAGTGGCGGTGGGGTAGCCAAGTATTTAAAGCGTCCGCTCGACACGTTGAAGATCTGGGATCGATTCCCTACATGGGTGCAATGTTTGCAGACCAGTTTTGGTGTCCCCACTGAGATATTGCTGGAACATTGCTAAAGTGGCGTAAAACTAAACTCACTCACTTTTGTTCCATATTCTGAAGCAAATGGTGGAGTCCTTGGCAACTTGCTTTCGAGAGTGATGAACAGCTGCAGGGGAAGAAAGGATGAAAAACGCAGTCCAAAGGGCTGCACGAGGAGGGAAGAAGAACTGCCACAGGAGATCGGAAGTGTTCCGATCGAGTCGGGCGCATATGAAAAGACATGCACACACATGGGGTATGAACATCCAAAAGCTAGGCTGAAGAAGAAAGCAGTACCCACGAGATTCATTTATACTACATCATTCCATGTTACAACTTACTGTCAGTGGTATTTTTGACATAGATTATTAAATCAAGTCCGATTGTGATGAAATAGGGTACCAGTCGAATTGCCTCAGCTACAAAATGCCCGAGCAAATTTGGTCAAATTGCTCCGGATTTCTGGTTAAATTGCCCCAGGGTGGTAGTCAAAATGCCCCAATATATTAAAAATAACTATGTGTCATAAATGCATTGTTTTTGTCAACTTTGATATTTTGTTCTTCATATAAAGGTTATATGTATAGTTATGAGTTTACCAATGGAACATTTATCAGAAATATTACTTCCTAATAACCTTTATATGAAGAACATAATATCAAAGTTGACAAAAACTATGCATTTGTGATATATATTTAATCATTTTAAATACATTTGACCAAATCAGGATCATTGGGCAAATCTGCTGGGGCATTTTGAAGCTGGGGAAGTTCGAGTGCTAGCCATGAGATATATATGATCAGTAAAAGATTTCACATAAGCTTGAAAATGTTTCGCTACATAACGTTCGTTCTGGTTTGGAGCCCTTAATGCTATAGTCTACCCGAACACTTGCCGAATACAATGGCAAATCATGAAGTACTTGTTACATTCAATCCCAGACACACTGCAGTCACCAATTTGACACAAAAGGAACTGCAATTACATTTCAAAAACATCTTAATTTAGGGACTGGTCATTTATTTATAGGGGTGGGTAAGCTGGTTGGACTGTATCACATTTTGCTGACAAATAATATTCCTGATATATTATATGGCCTATATTTCAAATTATTTTGACATTAAGCGGTGCCTCCGTTTCATTTGATTCTTTTTCATCTTTACTGAGAGATTGTCTTGCAAGATGTAAAATGGGATCGTATTGATGCGGTCTAACATCCATTTCAGAAATGACATCAGGAACATCTTTCATTGCTTCAGAATCCATAGACACTGCTAAGTTGTGAGGTAAAATCAACGAGAAAGCCAGCAGCAGCAGGCATATATGACGCCATGTCACGTGATACCCCCTCTGCCCATTAACTATCGAGTGCGTTTTTAGCGTGTTTATTGCGATTTTACAAACTCTTTTGTTCAGTTTTAATCACGGAAGGTGACTTTTAGAATGTCTTTGCCTCTGTGAAAAAAATTGGTAATTCCCTTTTACGCTACATGACGGCGGTCTGACCATAATGATGAACATCGTCCTGGGTAACTTGGATACATTTACATGCCTGACAACCCGATCTATTCACGTCTTACTGTAAGCATGGGCTGGTGAATGCCATTTTATCCGGAGCGGTAACCCAGGACGTATATACTCAAATGCATGATGACCCTCCGTACTATCCCCCAGCCTGAAATATTTAACACAACATAACATAACAAGATATTATTCTATAACGAAACATAATTTCATATAATACCCTTATACCATAGCATGTTTAAATTGAGTTCATAGCATGACATAACACCTTTTTAAAATAGAATATGACATAACACAGCAGTGGCCAGCACAACATAACTTTATAACATAACTAAACAAAACTTTATAACAAATTTACACGAGGTTTCAGAATAACTCTATTATAAAACTCCCTGAGTAGCCAACCCTAGTTCTAAAAATGCCATGACAACTCAAAGATTCTGGTGATAGGTCACCGAAAACACAAAATTAATGTGACCAAACAAACATGTATACCTACTCCCAAAAAATATGTACCAATGAACTTGAAGCTTAAGCTGTTCTTAAATGGAATTAATTGATTACAAAGCTCAAACGCCAACGAGCAATGTGTCGATGTGCGAAATGTCGGAAAGAGCACGTTAAATCTCTACATCATCATCACAGTCTGGAATGTCCGCTCAAACAGGTTCCAAAGGGAGCAGCAGTCAAATAGTTACGACAATTATAGGAAGAGATTACTTAAGCTGGTCAAATCCTTCATTAGGAAAACAGGTTGTTCACTTCAGAAGGTATACTGTTAGAACCTGGAGATCACAGCTTATGTAACTGTACTTTATCCCCAGAACATGTCCGGTACTGAGGATGGCGGTATGGGGGCGGAGGACGTGAACGTGACCCAGATTGGGTCGAAGAATGAGGTTCGGATACAGAAAACAGACATGAGGGACGTCAACATCAACATTATCTTAAACGCCCAGCAGGCAGCCCAGGGTAAGTAGAAACTTACAAATTAACAGACCTAGAACATTTTATTCAAGTCCTTCAATCTCACTTTGTTGTTAAAGAAATGAATTGAACACTGCATGTTTTACTCAGTGTAAAAATATGTTTGTGTGTCAGTGTTAGTATTTGATAATATGTCTATGATCCATTATTCATGATCAGAGTCGGGTCCATTTTTTCCTCAAGTGAACTGTTTTAGTCCGTAAGGATAGTTTCTACTGGTTGTGGATTTCTTTGACTGTTGTGGCCTCTTCAGTCGCCCGAACCCCACCTCAGGATCCACTACCAATAGCAATTTCAAACACGTTATGTGTCTAAATCTAGGATATGCTATTGTTTGACATAAAACGGCTTCAGGTTTGAGAAGCGTGAATGTGGTCTACACCTTTAGAGACATATTGTGGTAGTTTTGGGAAGTGATGATGTCAATGTTATTTATTTACTCGGTAAGTACTTTTTTCCATTTTTATTTCATTCTTTGTGTGTTTGTGTCTTTCTGTATTATGAAAGATGATGTTAGAAAGACAGATGGTTTTTTGACCAGACCATTAAATAAAGTATCTCATCATTTGACTGTTTTGACTGATGCTGAGAGGTCAAGGTTATTCAGCTAAAATTCAGACATTATCTGGTGATGCCTTGGAGAACGCTTGTACTGTACCGACCTCATTACAGAAACAGTGTTCGCCTGAGGTCGCCTGAAGGAATTGAGAAACACATTAAGTACATACAGACAACGGCTGTTTCCAACGCCTCTTTGGGGGGAAACATTTGTTTGAGACATTTATTGTGTGTTTGCAACACCGTCATTAGAATTTCTGTTGGACACTCAGATATTTTGGTTATACATTAAGATATGTTCACTTTTGTTCAGTGGCGGTGGGGTAGCCAAGTATTTAAAGCGTCCGCTCGTCACACCGAAGACCTGGGTTCGATCCCCTACATGGGTGCATTGTATGAAGCCCATTTCTGGTGTTACCCACTGTGATATTGCTGGAACATTGCCATACCCGGCGTAAAACTAAACTCACTCACTTTTGTTCCATATTCTGAAGCAAATGGTGGAGTAGATGGCAACATGCTTTCGAGAGTGATGAACAGTTGCAGGGGAGGAAAGCGGATGAAACGCCGTCCAAAGGCAACCATTGGTAGAGGTCAAAAACGAAAACGAAAACAATGTACCAAAAATGGTCCATAGATGGTATATACCTTCTTTGAGAGGCATTTAGAAGTTGGGGCTTTAAGGAAGGATAACAACTTCTTTATTGCTGTGAGAGTGACGTTACGGTGTAGGTTCTAGCACCTTAATCAACCAAGTGATCAAGCTTGCTCTCACACCAAAAAAGAAGTTGTTCATCCATATATTGTTATCCTTCCTTGGTACATACCTGTACTCAAACAAAATCAAAAATGAAAACGAAAACAAAGTACCAAAAAATGTACATAGATGGTACATACCTGTACTCAAAGAAATACGAAAACGAAAACAAAGTAGCACAAAAAGGTACATAGGTGGTACAAACATGTGCTGAAAAAAACGAAAAAAAGTCTGTAGATGGTACATACCTGTACTCAAAGAAAAACAAAAACGAAAACAAAGTACGACAAAACATGTCCATAAATGGTACGTCCATGTACTAAAAGAAAAACGAAAATGAAAACAAAGTACAAAAAAAAGGTTCATAGATGGTACTGACATGTACTCAAAGAAATACGAAAACGAAAACGAAATACCGAAAAAAGGTACATAAATGGTACAACCCTGTACTCAAAGGAAAAAGAAAACGAAAACAAAGTAGCACAAAAAGGTCCATAGGTGGTACAAACGTGCTGAAAAAAAAAAACGAAAAAAAAGTCTGTAGATGGTACATACCTGTACTCAAAGAAATACGAAAACGAAAACAAAGTACCACAAAAAATGTACATAGATGGTACATACCTCTATTCAAAGAAAAACGAAAACAAACTACCAAAATGGGTCCACAGATGGTACATACCTGTACTCAAAGAAAAACAAAAACGAAAACAAAATACAAAAAAAAGGTTCATAGATGGTACTGACATGTACTCAAACAAATACGAAAACGAAAACAAAGTAGCACAAAAAGGTCCATAGGAGGTACAAACGTGCTGAAAAAAAACGAAAAAAAAGTCTGTAGATGGTACATACCTGTACTCAAAGAAAAACAAAAACGAAAACAAAGTACGACAAAACATGTCCATAAATGGTACGTCCATGTACTAAAAGAAAAACGAAAATGAAAACAAAGTACAAAAAAAAGGTTCATAGATGGTACTGACATGTACTCAAAGAAATACGAAAACGAAAACGAAATACCGAAAAAAGGTACATAAATGGTACAACCCTGTACTCAAAGGAAAAGAAAACGAAAACAAAGTAGCACTAAAAAGGTCCATAGGTGGTACAAACGTGCTGAAAAACGAAAAAAAGTCTGTAGATGGTACATACCTGTACTCAAAAAGAAATACGAAAACGAAAACAAAAGTACCACAAAAATGTACATATAGATGGTACATACCTCTATTCAAAGAAAAACGAAAACAAACTACCAAAATGGGTCCACAGATGGTACATACCTGTACTCAAAGAAAAACAAAAACGAAAACAAAATACAAAAAAAAGGTTCATAGATGGTACTGACATGTACTCAAACAAATACGAAAACGAAAACAAAGTAGCACAAAAAGGTCCATAGGAGGTACAAACGTGCTGAAAAAAAACAAAAAAAAAGTCTGTAGATGGTACATACCTGTACTCAAAGAAAAACAAAAACGAAAACAAAGTACGACAAAACAGGTCCATAAACGGTACGTCCATGTACTAAAAGAAAAACGAAAATGAAAACAAAGTACAAAAAAAAAGGTTCATAGATGGTACAAACATGTGCTGAAAAAACACACGAAAAAAGTGTCTGTAGATGGTACATACTCAAACAAAAAAAAAAAAGTACCCCAAAACAGGTCCATAAATGGTACGTACATGTACTCAAAGAAAAACGAAAATGAAAAGCAAAGAACAAAAAAAGGTTCATAGATGGTACCGACATGTACTCAAACAAATACGAAAACGAAAACAAAGTACCTCAAAAAAGGTCCATAGGTGGTACATACATGTACTGAAAAATAAAACGGAAAAAAAGTCTGTAGATGGTACATACCTGTACTCAAAGAAAAACAAAAATGAAAACAAAGTACAAAAAAAGGTTCATAGATGGTACATACATGTACTCAAAGAAATACGAAAACGAAAACAAAGAACCAAAAACTGTCCATAGATGGTACATACCTGTATTCAAAGAAAAAACCGTATATGGTATATACATTAACTCAAAGAAAACGAAAAACGAAAACGAAAACAAAGTACAAAAAAGGTACATAGATGGTACACACATGTACTCAAATAAAAACCAAAACGAAAACGAAATACCGAGAAAAGGTGCTTAGATGGTACATACCTGTACTCAAAGGAAAACGAAAACGAAAACAAAGTAGCACAAAAAGGTCCATAGGTGGTACAAACATGTGCTCAAAAAAACAAACAAACGAAAACAAAGTTCCATAAAACAGGTCCTTAAATGGTACATACATTAACTCAAAGAAAAAAAAAACGAAAACGAAAACAAAGTACCTAAAATGTTACATAGATGGTACTGTCATGTACTCAAAGAAAAAAGAAAACGAAATACCGAAAAAAGGTACATAAATGGTACAACCCTGTACTCAAAGGAAAACAAAAATGAAAACAAAGTAGCACAAAAAGGTCCATAGGTGGTACAGACATGTGCTCAAAAAAAAAAGAAAACAAAATAAAGTACCAAAAAAAAGGTACATAGATGGTACATTCTTGTACTCAAAGAAGAACAAAAGCGAAATGCCGAAAAAAATGTCCATAGATGGTACATACCTGTAATCAAAGAAAAAAAACGAAAACAAAGTTCCATAAAACAGGTCCTTAAATGGTACATACATTAACTCAAAGAAAAATAACGAAAACGAAAACAAAGTACCTAAAAAGGTACATAGATGGTACTGTCATGTACTCAAATAAAAACGAAAACGAAATACCGACAAAAAGTACTAGATGGTACAACCCTGTACTCAAAGGAAAACAAAAACGAAAACAAAGTAGCACAAAAAGGTCCATAGGTGGTACAGACATGTGCTCAAAAAAAAAAGAAAACAAAACAAAGTACAAAAAAAAGGTACATAGATGGTACATTCTTGTACTCAAAGAAGAACAAAAGCGAAATGCCGAAAAAAATGTCCATAGATGGTACATACCTGTAATCAAAGAAAAAACGAAAACAAAGTTCTATAAAACAGGTCCTGAAATGGTACATACATTAACTCAAACAAAAAAAAAGAAAACGAAAACAAAGTACCTAAAAAGGTACATAGATGGTACTGTCATGTACTCAAATAAAAGCGAAAACGAAATACCGAAAAAAGGTACATAAATGGTACAACCCTGTACTCAAAGGAAAACAAAAACGAAAACAAAGTAGCACAAAAAGGTCCATAGGTTGTACAGACATGTGCTAAAAAAAAAAGAAAACAAAACAAAGTACCAAAAAAAAGGTACATAGATGGTACATTCTTGTACTCAAAGAAATAACAAAAACGAAATACTTAAAAAAATGTCCATAGATGGTACGTGTCAGTGTTATTCATTGTATCAAACTGTTGTATGTAAAACAATTATGCCTGCACGAAAAAAAGAAGAAAATTTCATGTATTTTAATTCCGTTTCGCAGTCTTTTCTCGCCTTGGTTTCAAGGTGGGTGCATCAAATTATCAAACTATGTAAACAAAGTAATCTGCGTCAAGTCACGGAACCTTCTCTCAGTAGGATATTAACATGGTTCACTTGATAAAAGTTTATAGGACCTTTTTACATGGTACAATTTCTAAACACTGAGAGGTACATTTCTATGTATTGCATTAAACTCACGACGGTTGCCCCACTGTAAATGTGCTTTATTTGCTTGGTTCTGGTATATCTCTGTTGCCTGTATAGTTTGCTTTCACCATATGTGATTTGTATAATTTCATTCAATTCATAAGGAAATGATCGTTTGTAGTGCTATTGTATGTTATGTTATTTAAAGTTGCTTCTTTTAGTGCTATAAACTTTTTATGTATATATTATGTTATATGAGGTGAAGTGAAATTGGGTTTTACGTCGTGCTTGAGAATATTTCGCTCATATGACGACGTGCATGCGTGTGTATATGTATGTGTGGCTGCTTGTACTAGCTCAGACTTTAGCTGGCTTTTTATAGTGCTAGCCCACTGAGATACCATACCGCAGTGAAACATGAATACCCCACATTATACTAACTCCGAGCCGACCAGACTTTGTTGTACCCATTAATGCCGAGCGCCAGGCAGGGACCGACAAGTACCATATTTTAACGTCTTTTGGTATGACTCGGTCGGGGATGGAACCCGCGACCTTCCGCTCTCCGGGCGGATACTCTAACCACTACACCACGGAGGCGGTCGTTATGTTATATGAATGTGAATTATTTATTATGTAGACAATAGAAATTACCGTCTCAATGAATGTTTAAATAAAAATGGCATTTTACAGCGTGAATCTTGTCCACTTATTTTCCGGTGAACATTTTAGCATTAACCCTTCCGTTGTAAAAACATTGACTGCCCATTGTCTAGAACCTGTCGATCTTAAAGATACATCCCTGCAAACCGACCAGTTTTTACGCCCATCCAAAGGTCGGACTGACGGGACCTAACCGTGTGTGACCTTCACCTTCACTACCTTCCGGTAGAGCAGTGGGCATCCTTTCCCTTATTTGCTGTTTAATACTCAGTTTCCACCAAACTGTGACTAACATCTATGATGATCATCGATATAGGCAGTGGATCCCATGATATATGTGGTACAGCATCAGATAGGTCATCTAGCCTCTATACCTACCCAGCCTCCATGATATATGTTGTACAGTATCAGATAGGTCATCTAGCCTCTATACCTACCCAGCCTCCATTGTATATGTGATACAGTATCAGATAGGTCATCTAGCCTCTATACCTACCCAGCCTCCATGATATATGTGGTACAGTATCAGATAGGTCATCTAGCCTCTATACCTACCCAACCTCCATGATATATGTGGTACAGTATCAGATAGGTCATCTAGCCTCTATACCTACCCTGCCTGCATGATATATGTGGTACAATATCAGATAGGTCATCTAGCCTCTATACCTACCCAGCCTCCATGATATATGTGGTACAGTATCAGATAGGTCATCTAGCCTCTATACCTACCCAACCTCCATGATATATGTGGTACAGTATTAGATAGGTCATCTAGCCTCTATACCTACCCAACCTCCATGATGTATGTGGTACAGTATCAGATAGGTCATCTAGCCTCTATACCTACCCAACCTCCATGATGGCCACCTGACACAAGAAAGGGGTGAAGAAGACGCCTTCTTACCTGGAAAGGAAGCATCCATGTTACTGTTAATTAGTAAGAGGATGACATTCCAAAGTGTGCTGCGCCATTAAATGGTAGATCTGGCCCTAACGGTAGTTATGAACCATCGTACATTTGTATAGATGTTCAAAGACCAGGATTAAATCTGGTCTTCAGCAACTCATGTTTGTCGTAACAGGAAGGTGACGGGTTTGGGTGGTCGGGCACACATGATCCAACCATTAATCAGAATGTGGTACCAGTTGTTAAAGCCACAGTTAATGGCAAAATCCATGAAAGAAACTTTCCAACCTTTAGGGAATTTAAATGCTGAAATATTAAATGGCAAGCTTGCTAATTGTTTATCGACGTAACATCGTTCGAAGTAGTTTAAAGTTTTACCCATTTCTGAACTACATCCATAGAACAGAGTAATTCTTGTGAAAATAAGACCAGCTCAATACGTAGCTTACTACAACACAGGAAAGAGACGCCTATTCGATGGAAACATCATATATACGTTGGTTAACGTATGTCTAGGAAGTGACATACTATAAGTAAATTGTGTGAATTTAAGTTAACTTCGGAGCGGTTTTCATATCAAAAACTGAACGCATCCATGTCAAAGGGCAGCACACATGCGCAGAGATACACAGAACCTTTCACTTCAAGAGATCTTCAAAAGGACAATAATGACAAGCAAAATATGGTGACATTAATTAAGATGACGGAATTGTAGTCAAACAGCTGTCACTTCAAGACATATTATCCCGATTAAGTCAAAGGACAATCATTTCATAACATCCAAAATATGGTAGCATTACTGTTCTAGAGGTTATTGCACTGAAAGTAAGCAGGATTAACAGATGAATTTGGGGGAATTCCACATCATATCATTTATAAACTCGTACTTAATGCCTACATTTACCTGGCTGGAGAAGCGTATATTGCACAATATTCTAAAGATTAATAATAACATTTGGAAGGAGGTTTTGTTATGAAGGTCAATGTACCTGAGATGATGTTTTACCTTCTGATGAAGATACGGCGAGCAAGTCTGTCTGGTATAATAATGAAATCAAAATTGATGGTTAGTATATTATTTTCCAACAATGACATTGAAAGGGTACAGCATTCGTACATGATATCATTAATGATACGGAGAAACATAATCGCGACATTGACATTTTAACAGCTTCATCCCTTTGTCCCGTTAAATATTTGAACTGGAGAATGAAATATAAGAATTAGCATCTCAAGCCAAGTGAATAGGAGTGAATAGGGGGAGAGGGAGAATGAAGGACTGACTTTATGCTAACAAGGTCATGTGCAGTTACTAATACAAGACCAAGTGTGTTTCAATTTGTAGGGCAATCAACCAGAGAAAGTAGGTGCTATAAATAGACTGCCTTTCTGTAAAACTGAGAGCAATGCAGTCACTCCGAGAAATGTCAATACACGAAAGACTTGTCTACATGGACGTATAGAGCATGGGCGCAGAGAACGTGGGACCAAGTCACTTTCAGTGGGGAGCAGGCTTAAATTATTCCCTGAGAAACTCACCCTCGCGGACTTGCCTCACATGTGTCAACGCAGGGGAAACAGATGGCGTCAACTACTTCAGTCTTTCTTCACGACGTCTACGATCAGTACACATCTCACAGATACTGAGTGAGGGAGTGAGTTTTACGCCGCACTCAGCAATATTCCAGCTATATGGTGGCGGTCTGTAAATAGAATCTGGACCTGACAATCCCGTGATCAACTGCATGAGCATCGATCTATGCAACTGGGAACCGATGACATGTGGTAACCAAGCCAGCGAGCCTGACCACCCGATCCCGTTATTCGCCTCTTATGACAAGTTTGGGTTACTGAAGAACAATTCTAACCCGGATCTTCACGGGGGGATCAGTAAGAAGAATGAAACCACAACACATGATCGAAACATTTCAGATGTAAGGTTGAGTCATGTAAAGACTTACCCAAGAGTACCTGAAGTATTAAGGTGGAGATCGAATAAGGCTGATCTGTACCAGATATATATCTTTTAAACAGATAATCAAGAAAGATGGATAGAAGAAACGTTTATTACATAAAGACGATACTAGCGAGATTGAATTTCAAATTATCGATATGAGAGATGGTTCGGTTCAAAGTAGGTTTTATGAAAATAAGAACACATCATACATATAAGCCACAAAACACTATCCACATCTTTCAGAAATCTTTGCTAAACGCAGAGTGGACTGTAAGATTCTGACTACATCATGAGCATGTCTTTTTAGGATTACACACACACACACACACACACACACGCACGCACGCACGCACAAACACACAAACGTATATAACTGTCTCTTGGGGAATATATGCTAATCTTTTTTGTTACGGTTTAGAGATTACTGAGATAAAAGGCTTATGTGGCTCCTTATAACCAGTGAAATATAACACAGTCAAGTCTACAATATTCAATTATGTATTGAATAAGCAAGGTTACAATGAATGACAGTCACAAATCCAATATATTGGGTCACAAATCTAAAATATTAACTCACCAAGTCTTCATGTTCCCAGTAAAAACAGATGTACTGATTGAAGACCGTTGACAGCTGTTGAAAGTTCAATGTAAAGTTCAATGCAAAGGCCTCTTGAAACGTCGATGTTAGCTAACAGATGATCGTAAATCCAAAGTCGTCCCCCATACATCTCAACAACCATTCCTTACATAACAATTATACAGTTTTTCCAGCAAAAAACATGCAACGCTACGATCTTCTCACAGCTTCCACAATCCAACCAGAAGCAAAACAAACAAACGGAGGCAACTCCTCAGCGCACTCTCATCAGGTGAAATTACATAGTCCAAGTTTAAGATGGGAGGTCACACCAACATTCAGCACCTCAAACTTTTGTGACCCATAATGACTAAACGTTAATTAATGTGACATTATAAGCAACAAAAATACATTCCCATACCAAAATACATGTTTCAACTGAATAGCCTACCTGTAGATATGAATGTAAATGTTCAACGCAAATAGCTGCACTATTTATTAAAGAACTATGATAAGCACCAAAATTAATGTTCAAACTAAATGGTTACATTACACATCAAAAGAAATGTTCAAACCAAACGTAAATGTTCACACCAAATGGCTGGATTACATAGTAAGGTAAATATTCAACCCTAATGTCTTTATTACATATTAAGGTATATGTTCAAAGCAATGGTTTAAAAGTATAGCAAAGTAAATTGTATACCAAATAGCTATAATATTTTAAAATATATGTGCAAGACAAACAACTGACACATGTTACAATATATTAACAAATCAAATCGGTTTAATATATATATTTGAATGGCGACAATACATATATTCCAAAAAACTATTCATCTCTTAATTTGTAATGACTCATACCGACCGACAATACACAGACTATCAATGAATATGACCTCTTTTAGATGTAACGTCTCACACCGCGGATGGAACATAGACCCCTAGACATCCAGCGTCTAATACAAGGGGATGGCACAAATACCATGACCCCCTAGACATGTAGCGTCTCATACAGGGGAATGACACAAATACCATGACCCCTAGACATCCAGCGTCTCATACGGGGGAATGACACAAATACCATGACCCTCTAGACATGCAGCGTCTCGTACAGGGGGATGACACAAATACCATGACCCCCTAGACATGCAGCGTCTCATACAGGGGGATGACACAAATACCATGACCCTCTAGACATGCAGCGTCTCATACAGGGGGATGACACAAATACCATGACCCCCTAGACGTGCAGCGTCTCATACAGGGGCATGGCACAAATATCATGACCCCTTAGGCATTTAGCGTCTCATACACAGGGGGCAGCACACGGCGCATCTTCTCGTACACGTGATCCGGCTGGGTCACACTTGTTATTTCATCTCCTGCATCTCCGGTGTCATCCTGGTAGGTGGGGTTTCTCACGGCACCAGCAGTAACGCCTGTCTTCTTCTGCTTGTCCGTCATCACCATTCTGTAAACAAGTTGTTAACATGTTAACTCGTATTATTTGCTGACGTGTACGCAAGCAAATATTCGATTTATGAAGATAATTCAATTCTATGTCAAACTTTATTTCATCCTCATTTTAATGTCTACTAATTTGAAAACCACAGTGACAATAATATATATATGTATATATATTAATCTGAATTTTTATTTTGAACAATGAGTGAATTTTAACTGAAGGAGTGAGTGAGTTGGCTTTTACGCCGCGTTTAGCAATATTGCAGAAATGTCATGGCGGGTTTTAACTGAATGAAATACTTGACTCCTCTTTCTTGTGGGTCCCCATGTTCTAATCTTTATAAAAGAATATTGGTTTCTATGGTTACCTTCTACATCTGACCAGGAGGATCACGAGAACCACCACAACCAATCCCAGAAAGACACATACAGACACCAGCGCCCAGACAACAAGGTTCCAATCTGCAGTACAACATGGCAGGTAGACATATTAACAACCCCAAAACCATGAGGTGGTGTGGTCGTGTGCATACAGCCCAGGTCACAAATCAAAACGTTGGTCACGGAGAGTCAATGTTGACGGTGTTCGGCAGCTTGACCACCTGAGAGTTTCTATGACTTCCGTCCTGACCCACAACAAAGCATTCGTGACACACGTGGTAAATGGGTACCCGGCGGGATAAGTCAGATGACTGTCAGACTTCTAGCTCCTCGCAGGCAGCATTAATTAAAGCGCTTCATGAATAGCCATTATTATCATTATTATTATTTCAAGACAACACCGATGCCAACTTCACCACAGTTGTGGAGTTTCCTGTAAGCTGGCATGATTAACCCAATTACTGTTCAAAGCATTAACTGAACGTACCTAACAACTTAGTAAGTATGAATCAATCAATAACAATGCAATGTAGAACAAACGAGCCACGATTCCGACGAAAGTGCAAATTCAAATCCGAAAGGCTCTTGCTGGACCAAGTTACAACACTTGAGAAACTGGATCCCGTTGTATGAAGCGATCTTAGCGCTAAGGTGATCGTCACTAGCACTCCAATAACATAGACTTAAGACTAGCGTGGCGCTAAGGTTGTTTTAACAACGGCACCCTGCAGAATACGTCCAGCGCCTGCTTGAAAGTGGAGGTTATTTATTTACAAATGGCACGTGCTCATTATGACGTCACGTCGTAACAGAACAGACAGCAGTCAATCATTTAGGAAATATGCTGCCATGTTATAATTGTCATATACAAGAGATAAATGCATTTTTATAGTTCTATCCTTTTGGGCTGTAATAGGAGATATGGCTGGAGCTGTGCTGCGGACGACATTTGTTTTTTTATAATAACATACACATTAAACAGTCCACTGTATAATCAACAACCTGCGATGTGTTTAAGTCAGGTTTGTTCCAGCCTGGCAGGTACATAGAACCCAGCAACGCTGACGGAACCGTGTAATAAAAGCATCTTCGTTATAACTAGCTTCATTGTTTATACCTTCATGGTATAATTCTTGTACCACGTCTCCGGCTTGACACGTGCCGTTAGCGGAATGACAGGGGGCGCCGCCAACACATTGGTCACACAGCTTCCGGCAGCGCTCACCGTAGGTACCATTTGGACATACTTTAAAAAAATACGCCATGCGTGACGAATTGATTACCCATAGTTAACACACTGAATTCATATTCATATCGTTTAGGTACTAAGTGGACCCAGTGGACAGGTAGGCACCCGGATGCATTATGGGAAGGTAGAAAAACCGAAATAACTCCCACATGTGCGTTGAGACCATTAAGGACAGCATCACGTGCACCCAACTTTAACCTAACACTGATGGCCCGACCAATCATTGGGGTAAAGCATGGCGATGTCTCAGTCATACTAAAGACGCTCACCACCTTAGCCTGAATTATATATCAGGTAATTTGAACGTCAGACTACGATATTATCTTTGTTCAAGATAAGAGAGCAACTCAACAAAAACTATTGTCGTAAATCTTTAGCTGAACATAGAAAACCGTCACAACTCTGTAGTTAATAGGACATCACTGTCGTGATTCTGTAGCTTGATACTGTTCACTGTGTTCAGTCTATAGTTTTGTACAGATCAGTGTCGTAACTCTATAGTGTTACTCAGACCACAGTCGTGACGTACTTGTTTCGGATGGACTTCTGTCGTGTCTCTTTAGTTTAACAGATGATGCCGTCGTCATTCTGTACTTTAACACAGACTTCTGTCGTAACTCTACAGTTTAACACAAACTGTGCAGTTGTGATTTGAGTACCGTACACATCACACATTGCAACCAACACCCATGTTCAAGTGGACGCTAACTCGAACAGCTAATGCTAATAACACAGCGTTTTTACAGTGCCTTTGTCCGAGAGCTTCTGAAAAAATGGTTGGAATTAAGTTTATTATAATCAGTACTATTATTTATTATAACTCCTTCATACACACCAGTAGTGCACGTGTCGCCAATCCAGCCAGTGTCACACCCATCTGCACAATGGCCATCGACGTTGTCACAAGCACTTCCATTGAAGCATTTCCCACTTCCCGGGTGCACATCCGACCATACCACCCAGAGGGACAGCCTGTTGAACGATACACAGATACAGCACGTTAACACTGTATGACAGAGATGCACAGCCGACCATACCACCCAGATTGCCAGCCTGTTGAACGATACACAGATACAGTACGTTAACACTGTGTGACAGAGATACACAGACGACCATACCACCCAGATTGCCAGCCTGTTGAACGATACACAGACACAACCCATTAACACTGTGTGACAGAGATTCACGTCTTAATCTGCAGCAAATCCACAATCAATGTTTCAGTTGTCAACGTATGCCCGCAGCAGATCAAAAGATATGTACTAATGTCTTAATAATGTACTAATGTACAATATACACTTTACTTGAGTCTACCTAATATATCATTACCATATATCCTGAAGACAGTAGCACGTATGCCCCCAAGAATGGATGTGTTAAAGTACACATAGGAGCGTGGCCCACAGCCTCCAGGAAGTACATCTACTGCCCCGCTGAAAGGAAATTCAATAGTCAGTTCATGGCAATATTTTGTCTTGTAGACGAAAGGTGAGTTACAATATCGTTCTGAACGTGTACATATTTATAATGCAATTGGTATTCCGTAAATGAATGATAATTTAATTTTTCTTCAGTGACGCAAAACAGCTGATTTATTGTTAAGTGGCAGTAAATAGTCTTCATGTTTATTGTTGGGACTGAAAATTATATACCGTAATTGTTTAATGGCAAGCGCGCACACTCACACCCAGAAACATGCATACGCATTTCAATACTGTGTATGCATACAACCTAATGAATATTACATATGAGCCTCCATGTAACATTTACCTGTCTCCAAAAGGCCCAGCATACAGTGCACCTTCGAACTCATGAACAGACAGATATAAAGTGTCGTTACGGTACACAGTGGTAACGTTCGTCTCCAAGTCCAGGGATCCCAAAGTGCGCGCCGAAGTGTCGGCGTAGTACAATCTGTGACCTGCGGCAGAAGACGCCGTGTTCGTATCTGAGACAGCTGCCATACTTGAATTGATAAATTGCAATAAACCTAAATCACTTGTCCAGTATTATTCCAGCTAAATAAGGACCAGTAAGTCTTTCGTCAGAAAAACGACATCTTTGGAAGCCTGGGAGACGTTTTGTATACTGGCCACATAAAGAAACTGTGCACACGGAAAATATAAAGATAGACAGACAGTGTCTTTATACATAAATAAAGGTGTGAACATAGCAAGTATTGGAGACAATCAAACCCTCATGCAGGTGCCAGGCGATGTGACGTCATTGATAGTGGCCTATGGAGTTACAATGTGTTACTGCACGTGCAGCCTGTGCAGCTGCACACAACATGTGAAACTCAGAAATTGCTGTCACTGTCGAAAGCTTGATCTTTGGTCATTCAAACGTTCACAAATTCACATGAGAATTCATATGCACATCATGCCAAAATTAACATCTGCTCAACGTCACGAAACCATTGGAATGGTTCGAGCAGGCATGAGCCAACAACAGGTGGCAGCACATTTCCAATGCCATCGTAACACGATATCTGCATTGGTCAGTTGTTATGGAAACAGTAATGACGTCGCCGACCACCCACGTTTTGGGCGTCCCCGAGTAACGACGCCAAGACAGGACAGATGGATTCCAGACGGACACAGGTTCCAGACGGCAGTGACCACTTCCCAAACCATTCCCCAGGCCTTCAATGATCATTTGCAGTAGCCTATATGCGTCGTCGATGCACTGATGTGCTTCACGCGCATGGTGGTCATACCCGTTATTGACTTTGAGACTTCGTCGTGTGACCCCCTACTCAACTTTGAACTTCTGACGTCATCGTTACGGGTATTGTTCATGTTCTTTTGACATGTTGTTGTAGCCCGATACTTCAGCTTATAAAGTGTCTACATGATGTCGTCTTTTCTGTGTTGTATTCCAATTCTGAAGGAATTTTCTGTGTGCACAGTTTCTTTATGTGGCTAGTATATTTCTTGGTCTTGCACTGAGGATGGGACCTTTTAAACTAAACCTTATTGTAGTAATGGATAGATCGAGTCCAAAACACGGTTATGTGTCGCTACCCATTCTCTACTTTGTAAAGCCATCTGTATATTATTTTAGATAATATCTTTAAAAGGAAAAATGAACCCAACAAAACATCGAAAAGGTTACCAGCTCGAGTTATTATGATTTTTTATTTTGGTAAAAAACAAGAGTGACAAATCAGCTTCATTGACGGAGTGATTTCCTAGAGATATTTAAGATTTATTCTAAAAAATGTGACTCTCTAATTGTCTTTTATGTTCAAATCCACAGATGTTGAAAGATAAGGATTCTGGGCAAGGTTGAATAAGTAACCGCTTAAACAGCAAAACGTGTGTACTTACCTTCCACGTCAAACATCATACCAAAATGGTCGCCATTCTTTTTGTTTAGTAGGGTGACATAGTCACTCCCGTCGTAGTTCATCATTGTGATTTTTGCGGTAAATGCTAGAAACAACTTCCTGCAATGTAAAACAGTATTTCAACAGTTTGCTTTTCGCCGGTTGTGAAATCATTGTTGGCATACCTAATTTACACGGCTTTAACTTGAATCTTTTATTTTAATTTTAGTTGACTTTAATTCTTACTTGTTCCGAGTATCGATAGCGATTCCCCATACAAGTGAATTTTCAGTCGGAACCTTTGTCAGGATCTTTGTGTCCATGTTTATCTTCCACAAGGAGCTATTATCATCATCTTTAAGGTCGAACACAAAGATTGCCCTTAGTTCGGGATCAAGGGCCATTCCATATAAACCTAAAAAGTTGAACCAAAATAGTACTTCTTTAAATACAATCACAAAAACGATACACACATCTGCTGAACAGAAGGGTGATCTCTCTCAACATCACAGTGTTTACCTCAATAAATTAAGATGGCTTCTTTGGTGGGTACGTGTTTTAAGTTCGTAATTATCAAATATCTTTACATCCTTACCTCTGGAGACGTTCACCCACGTTTCGTAGTCTTCTCCTGAAGACTTGACCCTACAAACAGACATGAGAGCATAGTCGGACCAGTAGACGTAGTCCTCTACCGGGTCGTATACAGGGCATCTGGGGTTGGGGGTGTGGATCGGGAGAACACTGCAGCTGGACCTGCCATCCAGGGTGCATCGGTACACGCTCCCGTTGACTTCTAAACGTGCACCACTGTCTGTGATAAACATTATCTTTTCTGTCGCTGAAAATGAAGAAATAACTATTATAATTCTTAAATCGACGCCCTTTGGGGCATTTAGTTGTTTCGCCGTAATAAGCGACCTGGATATTAACCTCAGATATAAGTACAAGGCTAAGTTCGTATATCTTGGGCTGGCTGCGTAGGTCCCTATCATCACATTTTCGTCAAAAACCACATGCGAACCAGCCTATACTGTACCTGTAGTATATACATTCACTGTGTAAATAATACCACGGAGATAATTCTGGTGTGGCTGGCTCTATCAAAACAAATATATTGATATACATACATATATATTCAGAGTGACAAAAGGACTGTACAGTGTGTTTGATAACAAACAGTCCCTCCTGATTAACATAAGGAAGTATGGATTCAATTTGAGAGTCATAATATTTCCGTATGATAGATTCGCAGTGTAGGCTATGATAAGTGGGTTATGTGGCATTGTGGATGTAGGTTTTGACTGGGTTCATGTTAGGGCTTTATGAAGGAAGTTAAGTAATTTAATGCGCAAGTGGGAAACACGACTTGTTTGTCTCGAGCTACGTCTTTGCGATTGTATATTTACAACAATTATATAGAGTTCCTTATTATATTACACTCCCTTGCTTTAACCTGAATTGTGTCATATTGTTACATTCCAAATTATGTGTTGTATCCAACAAATATATGCCAGGAACCGATGGAAGGATGGACAGATCGGATGGCATAAATGCTGCGCCATGCTGGATGCAGGTTAACTAGATAAAGTGGTCCTAAATATACAGTGACAGTGATTCCCGACACACAGAGCAATGTTGCATCTGTATCACTACCTCCTAGAAACGTGGGATGTGGGCAAAGCAGGTCAAGACTTGTCACATATTCACCTGACGAGCTTTGGGTACCGAGGATCCATGGTACATGGAGTATCTACAAAAGTTCTACTGCTACTTACAACACAGCCCAGAGACATAACGTACTGAAGTTCCAACTTACCATTATTAGATTCAGCGGCAGCGCTCAGAAGTGCAAGGGCACACAAGACGAAGATAAGTGTAGTGTCCGCCATGATGTCACAGCAGTATATCTACCCACACCAGCCTGGAATACGGGTATCTCAACTCTGCTCAACTATTTGTGTACGAGGAAGTATATTACGCTTCAGCAAAACTTCCTTTAGATGACAGAGTGACAAAACCTGTCGGGTTGCCAGTAGGCTATCAATGCCTGCCACGCCTGTAACATCAATAATGTATGCGTGTGTCATTGTGAGGTCTGAACAGTATGCGATAGATGTCATATCAACTCGCACTTCGGTTTTGTGCAGTGTGTTGAGGAGAAGAACAACCCTGCCGACTTCTTCAAAAGTCACGCATCCGAAGAATTAAGTTGTTCGACTCACCATTGTTTTGGTGCCCAGTACCTCTCAATCTGCTGACTGACATTGGCTGAGAACCCGTGTTTACTGCCAGGACCACAGCCCTTCTGACACTCTGCAGGAATCTACACATTCTCCGGAAAGTTCTTGCTGGGAAAGTTCCTGGGAGATATAATTCGCTGTCTGGGCTGCATGTAAAAGGGGCAAGGGCTCTGAGCTGAGTACGAACCTAACCTGCCTGCAGTGCCTCATTTTGTCCTTTTTGATAAGGCCACCGAATTTATTTTTTGTCATTTTCTGTCCCTTTTGTCAGCAATGTGATGACCAAGATTCAGGAAAAGCATGATAAATATGCTCACTTCTGCTTTTGAAATGTCTCGCTTGAATTCTAGTCCTCAGGCTGCTGAAAACATAACAATTATCTGTAAAACATTAAATTTAGCATATTTTGGATTTTAACACGAAATAGGGTTACCGAAACACAATCGTGGAAAGGCAATAGCTACACGTGCAACTGGAAATCTTGCAATAATGTTGGTACTGTTTCATGGACGAAACTCAGGACAGGGATGGAATACTGTTGCTTAGATACAAGTATTGCATGAGGAGGAGACAGGAATGCAAAATAGGTGTTCAAAATGGTGCCAGCATAGGTTAGACGAGTCTGTATGTGATAACGTCCAAGTGACCTTGTATGAGTTATTGAAGCCTGTCTCACAGCCCTGGATCATACAAGTTTCCCAGGGATGAGCAAAGGTGACATAGATATTTTATCAAAGTTTACGAAGAGTTGGTGCAGTTTTTAATAACACAAAGAAGTAGACTCGATGTATTGCCCCTGAGTTTAGAAGTTATTTCTATCCAAATTATGTCTTTTCAGTCTAGTAGTTTTGTATAACACACCGTCAGCAACAAAACAACTTTACACATGCGCTTTGCAAATGGTCACGTCATAGATCTGGTGGCAATTCTATGCTTACAATCGCGTATACTTTCAAGTCTCAAATAAGGTAAGTACCAATATTTCATAGCGTATTTTTTACTACTAACGACTAACAATGTGTGTAAATCGTTTATGTGTGTGTTTCGTTAAACATTGATTTGAAGCACAGTAAAGGCCGTTATCCTACATGCATTTACAATAGAGTGGAAAGTCGGCCATGTTTGTTGCATGCAGAAACATGGGATTGTGCACTGTTTCAGAGATCAGACGGAACCGTACAAGACAATCAGCTTGTCACCTTCCTAATACTGAAGTGTTCAGGGGCCACTCTGGGAAGGGTTGTTAACAAGGCGTGAAAACTGAGGGGCCACTGAGGGGCCACTGTGTTTTGTTTCCACAGTGAGTTAGTGTGATTGCTGTACAATTCATTGGTATAGGTATACACGTCTTTGTGTTATCTCTGATTGAGACTGAGTGAAAACGCCGTTTACCTGATGTAATGTATTTTACTGATGGTGTCACATGGCGCGGATAACGTTAGTTAATTTGGTTCAGTTGGTTCAGTAGGTAGACTGAACTGAGCAAGTAAATGTTACACATATTTTATTTAGTCCAGGTCCTGGACATGTTTTGGTCTACCAAGACGCCGGATGTATACCTAGCTTTCTTAGCATTTTTCAAACCAGATTAAAATATACGTACACCCAAGAATGGACAAATATATTTGCATCTAGCACATTATGAATAGCCTTGAAGCCGAGAAATATGTAATAGATTTAATCTTGTGTACATTTGCAACCGACTTCTCGAGCTGTAAGTACAAGGCTAAATATTGATATTCAGACATAAAATTGCAAAGTCTGAAAGCGTATGTACAACTTAAACAATCTCGCCTACCTGTATGGCCTTGGCACTTGGAAGCCATGTTCTATCATATTGATCATCACAACAATGAAGGTTTATCCTTATAGGCGATAATTTTACTTGCATTTTTTGCTCTGGAAATCAACTGGAAGCTTGTTGACCATTCCAAACAGTTTCCAAGAGATGGCATTTCTTTGGGTGTGTCAGGATTGACCATTCGGATTAATGGACTAAATCTCTAGAGTCACGTAGATCAGTGAATTATGTGCCTATACAAAGAATGCCTCATTCATTATGCTGCCCTGTGCGTGCCTATTGGTGTATGGTGAACGCCATACCAGCCAGACCTTCTGATCCAGCCTTCGTTCAGTGCTACAGGGGGCAGCTATGTCCTTGGTCTCGACAGCAATTGGATCAAAAGGTTAGCAGCCTTCTACACAAATGTGGCCTTGACTCTCAATCATACTCGTTCCACAGCTTGAGAAAGGGTGTTGCTTTGCTGGCTGCAGCTACAGGCTCAAGTGACAGTGGCTTTTGTGCAATCGGCCTTTGGCCATCGTCGTCTAAAAAGGGCTATATCAAACTCTCACCACTCATTCTGTCCCGAGTTTCTGGCAGAATGGCAAAAACATTTAAAAACATTTAAATACTTTGGTGAATGCAGTGTTTGCGGTGCTTAAATTTTCCCGGCGGCCTTCATGGCCTGCTGCCGCCTGCAACTTATAAAATCTCCAGGCCCAGGGTGAAATCTCCAGGCCCATTTTGTTAAAGTCAAATCAATAAAATCAAACTATACTACACTGTACACTTTTTCACACTGTTTCTACAAAATCAGTTTGCGAAGCCTATGGAGCAGAGAGAGGTTTTTATTTGTTAAAGGCTGATGTTGACATTTCTATGCACAAAGCCAGGAAGTGAAACTGTAAGTTATCGTAACATGGTGGATTATGGAGGATTCACGAACGTTAATAAAGAGAACAATTATTGGAAAATTTCCAGTTGAAAAACAAAATGACATATTTACTGAAGGCCACAAGGGCCTGTACATATTTGAAACTTCCGGCCTGATACAATAATAACTGGCGCTGGGCCTCCGGGCCGGGGATTATTTCGAACGCTGGGTCAGTGTACAGTACCTTCCCATGTCGTCACTCGAATTTGTATTCTTAACTTGTCACATCTATATTCACACATTTCCAGTTTTTGTATTTCCTTGGTTTTCTTTCAGGCTGAATGTCAAAAGCCTCTTAATTTAATTTTTAACGACTGCTCATCAGAAAATGTTTTTTCTTGTAATGATGGATCTGCGTAGCTGTTTGAACTTATATTTATAACATGGCTTCATTTTGGTTTAGATGTTATGTTTCACATTTTTACTTTTCAGGCTGTTTTGAGAAATGGATATAATGACAGAATGGTGCTCGATATTTCAAGTATGTCACCTTTTGGGATCTGTCGGTGGAGATTTCCTTAGTCTACAATCTAGTTTCCCCTTCAATGTTAGTTTCTGCTTACAGTTATATGGTTAATATCACAAGTGGTGAAGTGATGTTTTGTAGACATTTTTACTGTTCAGTTTTTTGTTTTTTTATTCACTCTCTTGTTTGGCGGACTTTGCCTTGGTGTCTGTGGTGTTTATAGTATTTTAGGCCAGTCTTGGTCTGTGTGATATATTTCACCTCAGCGACATGTTTACCTATCTTATTAAACTATTAAACTCCACCTTAACAACCAAACAAGTCTTTGTTATCTTCTTAATTGTGTGTATGGAGGTCTAGCAAATTGCAAAATCATGTGTCATGATGTCTAATTTGCATATAAACCGGAACTGTCTGTCTTGTTCCCTACCACGCATGCGTCCTCTCCTTTCCTGTCATGCATGTGCGGCTTTCTTTTTTATTCCAAGCATCTTTTAATTTTCTTAATCACCCTCCCTCCGTCCCTGCCCTCGTTTTTTTGTAGTTAGATATAATAATACTCAGCCTCATGACACACTGTTCTGCCTAAACAACTTCAATATTTTATATGTTTTTTTGCTTTTGACTCACAGCTCTGTTATTATTTTGAGACATGCCATGATTATGGTGCCTGTGGTGTTTATAGTATTTTAGGTCAGTCTTGGGGCTGTGTGATATATTTCACCTCAGCGACGTGTTTACTTATGTTATTAAACTCCACCTTAACCACCAAGCAAGTATTTGTGTATGGAGGTCTATCAAATTACGCAAAGAAGTAAACTCGATGTATTGCCCCTGAGCTTGGAAGGTATTTCTATCAAAATTATGTATTTTCAGAGACAAAGCGTAAGTCTAGTAGTATTGCATAACAGTCAGCAACAGAGCTCGCCCTGCGCATGCGCGGTGCATATGATCACGTCATAGGTCTGGTGACAATTCTATGCTAGCAGTCGCATATACTTTCAAGTCCAAATAAGGTTAGTATCAATATTTCACAAAACATTTTTGCCCACTGACGGACATAGAAGAATGTGTGTAAATCGATGATGGGTGTATTTCGTTAAAACATTGTTTAGAAGCACTGTAAAGGACGTGGTCCTACATGCATTTACAATAGACTGGTAGGTCGGCCATGTTTGTTGCATGCATTGACATGGGATTGTGGGCTTTTTCAGAGGTTCGGTCGGAATCGTACAAGACAATCAGATTTTGTCGTCCATTATGATTATGGACGGGTTGTCTCCTTCCTATTTACAGTAAAAACATTGGATCAGTAACACGACACTAAAGAGCGAAAGCGAAAAAAGGAAACTTTTCAGAGGCTATTCGCGGAATCATATGCGTCATAGGACCTCGAATCCATTTTATTGAAAATACGGAAGTATATTATCCACTTGTATATCATGTACATACTGACTGAATATTGAATAAAACGATGTTGCTGTTTCTGAAAATACAAATGTGTGAAAATACACTGGAATTCCGAAGGTACGATGGAACGAGGGAGAGATGTTTGAGTTGACGTTGGAACTGCATTATAGCTTTATAATACCTATAACGTATACTCTATATCTATGTACCATCTACGTGTACTTCAGACTTTAAGCACGCAGGACATTGAACGCCGGTGTTATATTGCTATAATGCACCGACTGCAGCTATTAATTTCTGTGCACGAACACACACAACACTATTTGCAGGTAGTCACCGACATGTCTGGCAACGTGCCAAACAGATGTGTTGTATTTTTCAGTAATTTGTGTTTGCTGGGTGAGTCACAATGATTGCTGTACAATTCATTGGTATAGGTATACACGTCTTTGTGTTATGTCTGACTGAGACTGAGTGAAAACGCCGTGTACCTGTTGTGTAATGTACTCCACTGAAGGTGTCACGGAGCGCTGATAAGGCTACGGAACGTTGGTTAATCTCTATTCAGTTGATTCAGTACGTAGACTGAACTGAGCAAGTAATGTTAGACATATTTTATTTAGTTCAGGTCTTGGTCATATTTGGGTCCACTCAGACGTTGGATGTATAGCTAGCTTAACATTTTTCAAACCAGATTAATATATACGTACACCCAGGAATGGAGAAATATATTAGCACATAGCACTAGACATGAATACTATGCACATTTCAAGATTAGCATTGAAGCAGGGAAATATGTAATAGATTCGACCTTGTGTACATTTGCAAACGACCTTGCTCGTGCTCGAGGATGTACAAGGCTAAATTTTTAATATTGATACAGGGAGACATCATAAACTTGCAAAGTCTGAAATAGTATGTACATGTAAGTTAAACAATCTTGAAGATCTGTACCATTTCACCTTCCATGTCCATCCTTAAATAACGTTCGACAGCAATACATACCAAGTAAACATTTAATTTAACCTTCAGTATAACAGTGTATTTGCTCAAGGGTAACCACAAACTATCAAGATTTAAGATTTGTTATGTTATGCTTCAAATATTTCTTCAAGAGCACAAATGAAATGTGAATCTTTTGTGAAAATACTGACGCATATGCACTTCATGTTTATGGGCCTATGGCTTTGATACAATAAACGTTCGATGACACGGCGATGATAGGGGTGTTAGACTGATGGCGCATTATCGTGTTCCTATCACCGGTTTATCTGGTCTGGATTTCGTGGAGGTTGTACTGGAGTTTGCTGACTGAAATGCTAAAATTCACCCACTCACTCAGTTGGTTATTGTACCGTATTTGCCTATACTTCTTCAACACAGCAGATACCACTCGATTGGGGTTTAGGATGAAGACGGGAATAGAAGATGCAGAATGTTAGAATATAGAAACAACTGAAATATTCGAGATTACAGTGCAGATCATTGGTGCAAAACGTTTCAGAATACCATCTTTTGGTTTCAGAAAGAGATGCGACGGTGTTTTGGTGACAGACAAAGACAAAATAGGAGTGGAGAGAGAAGGAATGCCACACCTGTAAGAGATGATATAAAGCTACTACAGCCTGGTGCCATCTGCGGCAGGAATAAAGGTGTCTCGGATATTGAGATGGACAGAGGTCGGGGTGCTGGTGTCTCCGAAACTGAGAAGGAAAGAGGTCGGTATGCTGGTGTCTCCGAAACTGAGGAGGAAAGAGGTCAGGATGCTGGTGTCTCCGAAACTGAGAAGGAAAGAGGTCGGGGTACTGGTGTCTCCGAAACTGAGGAGGAAAGAGGTCGGGGCGCTCGTGGTTCCGAAACTGAGGAGGAAAGAGGTCGGTATGCTGGTGTCTCCGAAACTGAAAAGGAAAGAAGTCGGGGTGCTGGTGTCTCTGAAACTGAGAAAGAAAGAGGTCAGGATGCTGGCATCTCGGAAACTGTGGACAGAGGTCATGATGCTTCTGTCTCGGAAACTGTGGACAGAGGTCGAGGTGCTGGTGTCTCGGAAACTGAGATGGAAAGAGGTCGTGGTTCTGGTGTCTCCGAAACTGAGAAAGAAAGAGGTCGGTATGCTGGTGTCTCCGAAACTGAGAAGGAAAGAGGTCGAGGTGCTGGTATCTCCGAAACTGAGAAGAAAAGAGGTCGGTATGCTGGTATCTCCGAAACTGAGAAGGAAAGAGGTCGAGGTGCTGGTGTCTCGGAAACTGTGGACAGAGGTCATGATGCTTCTGTCTCGGAAACTGTGGACAGAGGTCGTGGTTCTGGTGTCTCCGAAACTGAGAAAGAAAGAGGTCGGTATGCTGGTGTCTCCGAAACTGAGGATGAAAGAGGTCGGGGTGCTGGTGTCTCTGAAACTGAGAAGGAAAGAGGTCAGGGTGCTGTTGTCTCCGAAACTGAGAAGGAAAGTATTTCGGGTGCTGACATCTCCGAAACTGAGGAGGAAAGAGGTTCGGGTGCTGGTATCTCCGAAACTGAGGAGGAAAGATGTCGGTATGCTAGTGTCTCAGAAACTGAAAAGGAAAGAGGTCAGGATGCTGGTGTCCCTGAAACTGTGGACAGAGTTTCGGGTGCTGGTGTCTCGGAAACTGTGGACAGAGGTCAGGATGCTGGTGTCTCCGAAACTGTGGACAGAGGTCGGGGTGCTGGTGTCCCCGAAAATGAGATGGAAAGAGGTCGGGGTGCTGGTGTCTCCGAAACTGAGAAAGAAAGAGGTCGGGGTGCTGGTGTCTCCGAAACTGAGGAGGAAAGAGGTCGGGGTGCTGGTGTCTCCGAAACTGAGGAGGAAAGAGGTCTGTATGCTGGTGCCTCCGAAACTGAGGAGGAAAGAGGTCGGGGTGCTGGTGTCTCCGAAACTGAGGAGGAAAGAGGTCGGGGTGCTGGTGTCTCCGAAACTGAGGAGGAAAGAGGTCGAGGTGCTGGTGTCTCCGAAACTGAGGAGGAAACAGGTCAGGGTGCTGGTGTCTCAGAACCTGAAAAGGAAAGAAGTCGGGGTGCTGGTGTCTCCGAAACTGAGAAGGAAAGAGGTCAGGATGCTGGCATCTCGAAAACTGTGGACAGAGGTCGATGTGCTGGTGTCTCGGAAACTGAGATGGAAAGAGGTCGTGGTGCTGGTGTCTCCGAAACTGAAAAGGAAAGATGTCGGTATGCTAGTGTTTCAGAAACTGAAAATGACAGAAGTCGGGGTGCTGGTGTCTCCGAAACTGAGAAGGAAAGAGGTCAGGATGCTGGCATCTCGAAAACTGTGGACAGAGGTCGATGTGCTGGTGTCTCGGAAACTGAGATGGAAAGAGGTCGTGGTGCTGGTGTCTCCGAAACTGAAAAGGAAAGATGTCGGTATGCTAGTGTTTCAGAAACTGAAAATGACAGAAGTCGGGGTGCTGGTGTCTCCGAAACTGAGGAGGAAAGAGGTCAGGATGCTGGTGTCTCAGAACCTGAAAAGAAAAGAAGTTGGTGTTCTCGTGTCTCCGAAACTGAGAAGGAAAGAGGTCAGGATGCTGGTTTCTCGAAAACTGTGGACAGAGGTCAGGGTGCTGCTGTCTCGGAAACTGTGGACAGAGGTCGAGGTGCTGGTGTCTCCGAAACTGAGAAGGAAATTGGTCGGTATGCTGGTGTCTCCGAAACTGAGAAGGAAAGAGGTCAGGGTGCTGGTGTCTCCGAAACTGAGGAGGAAAGAGGTCGGTATACTGGTGTCTTCGAAACTGAAAAGAAAAGAAGTTGGGGTTCTCGTGTCTCCGAAACTGAGAAGGAAAGAGGTCAGGATGCTGGTTTCTCGAAAACTGTGGACAGAGGTCAGGGTGCTGCTGTCTCGGAAACTGTGGACAGAGGTCGAGGTGCTGGTGTCTCCGAAACTGAGATGGAAAGAGGTCGAGGTGCTGGTGTCTCCGAAACTGAGAAGGAAAGAGGGCAGGGTGCTGGTGTCTCCGATACTGAGAAGGATAGAGGTCAGGGTGCTGGTGTCTCCGAAACTGAGAAGGAAAGAGGTCGGTATGCTGGTGTCGTAGAGACTGAAGAGGAAAGAGGTCGGTATGCTGGTGTCTCCGAAACTGAGAAGGAAAGAGGTCAGGGTGCTGGTGTCTCTGAAACTGAGGAGGAAACATGTCGGGACTCTGGTGTCTCCGATACTGAGAAGGAAAGAAGTCGGCGTGCTGGTGTCGTGGAAACTGAGGTGGACAGGGGTCGGGGTGCTGGTTCAGCTGAGAAAAGGAAAATAGACAAGGCTTTTGGAGAGAAGCGTGGAAATTGTTTTGGTGGTGGAAGAAAATGGAGGAGAGATCAAAGTACCATTGGAGGTGGAGATAGAGGAGACATTGATGAGGAAAGTGGAGGAGAAGACGTTGATGGAAAGCAGGGAGGAAGGTGGGAGGGATTTCAGTATATGACTAGAGACGGAGGAGGCGCTGTGGTCGGTGGAGGAAGAGAAAGACGGTTCAGAGATGGCTCTGTTGGTGAAAAACAGGGCGATTGTGGTGATGGCGGTGGTAAAATATGGAAGAAATACCATTACAACACTGAAGGAATGGATAAAGGAAACGATGACGTTTGCGGAGGAATAGAGGTGGGACTCGGAGATGGTGCTGTAGTGGGAATGCAGGGAGAATGTGATAGCAATGAAGACGAAAGGAGAGGAGATCGTTGTACTGGAGGAAGAGAAGGAGATGGCACTGTCAAAACAGCGCAGCCACAATACGTTGATGGTGGCAGAATGCGGACAGGAGATTACATCAAAAGAGAAAGAATTACGAAAAGAGGACAAAGACTGAGCGTAGATGATGGCGACGGACACAGAACAGATGCTGTTGATGGAGATGGACAGAACCTGGTGGTGGACATCGTTGCAGATGTTACCAATGTGCAGAACGGCCATTCCAACATCATAGTACATCAAACAGTACATGTCAAGAATCTGATTGGTATGTATTTTCGTAATGATTTACCTTATACGTCAACTGCAGATTTATTCTCTTCATATGATACATTAGCGCGACAACAGACCCGCACTGTAGAGCGTTGTTTAAAGTTGTAGTCTCTAACAAATGTTCAGAATGTTGATATTTTATAATGTTGACGGAAATAACCTGTTGAAGAGAATATCTGTTGATCTGGATCTATATATTTCAGACAGCACATATGCTTTTCTCCTTTTGATATACAAGAAATGAGTTTCGCTAAAAATGACTTAACAATTTTGAAATTGTGTAAATGTGCTTGTTTGAATCTCTGGATGTTTTCTTACTCAACATCTCCCATGAATGACATTATGTTGATGGAAAGGGTCATACATGGTAGAATTGTAATTACTCAGAATTAGATTTGAATGCAATTACAAACAAAGCCAGGGGATTTAGGTAGCCTAAAGGTCCTCTGTTGATTATTGTTTTAGTAATGCCAAGACGTGTTGGAAGAAGAAGGAAGCTTCGGCCAAGGTCACGGAAGGTAGCCACAAGATGTACGCAGACCGTTGGTGAGGTGGCCAAGGTCACACGACGTTCACAGACTGTTGGTGAGGTGGCCAAGGTCACGCGACATACACAGACTGTTGGTGAGGTGGCCAAGGTCACGCGACATACACAGACTGTTGGTGAGGTGGCCAAGGTCACGCGACATACACAGACTGTTGGTGAGGTGGCCAAGGTCACGCGACATACACAGACTGTTGGTGAGGTGTCCAAGGTCACACGTCAAACCAAGTCTGTGAGACGCTACTTGAGGCCACACTGCCAAGATCAGAAGGTCAAAGAAAATCTCACGATTTGGTTCCACGTTTTAGTTCAAATCGAGATCCTGGTGGTCCTGATTGTGATAATGTTCATGCAGCATTAATTCAATCCTAACATTTGCTGCATGTAAACGCGTGCGCAGGAGGGTGTATAACAATTCAAGAGTGTGTTATATGCCGGAAATGTGTAAAACAGTTGTTTTACTTGAAATAGGTATACGACACGTTGATTTTGCAAGTAATATTATAAAAATAGAATTCAGATTGAATTCATACCTTCCGAAAAAATATTTATGAGATTTATGTTCAACTAAGTGATTTACCTATTTGTAAACCACATTTTCAAGTTCAACGTTTTGCCTGGATATCTTCCAATGAAATGTTAAATTTGCAAATATAGTTTACAAATACGTTACATCACTCAGTTAAACATGAATCTCGGAAATATTTTTTCAGAAAGACAGAATTCACTCTAAATTCTATTTTTATAATATTTAACAAAATCAGTGTGTCGCACACCTATTTCAGTTGAAACAACTGTCACTAGCTACCGGCATCAATTCTGGCGCACGCCGGGGTGGGTGGGTGGGCGTGGGTGGGGTGGGCTCTTGTGGGTCAGGGAGGGTGGGTTAACATATTCCTGTATGGAATACAAGTGTAAGCCGCATCGGCTACATCACTGCGTGTGCAGTACATTGTATTCCTGTTGTTAAATAACACATTATTTAGCAACGGAACAGATTCCGTATCCTCAAAGAGGAATTTTGTAGACACGTCCACTTGCTTAGCAAGTATTCTTTTCATATCTACGAGCATGTACTGTTATCAGCTTGTTAACGAACAGTATATTGTAACCTTTCATACCATTGTACCTCACAATAAAACAGTCGAAGAAACAGAGCCTTTCTGTTTATGATATGTGTATGATAATATTTAGATATGTTTAAGGATCTCTCGATATGAATAAACAGAGTAATGCATAACAAAGTCTGGATTCTGTTTCAGTGGTGAAAAGATGCAGTCATTTGGAATCTAAAACGTCAAAACAAAATTGACAAACATGGCGGCATATCAGCTTCACGTGTCAGCTGCCACTTAGTCACGGTCGTTTGCCTGTTTAAGTGAACCTCCTGACCACATGCATGGTGGCGACAAACTAACCAAGGGTCATAATCCAATCAGGGTTCGAACTACCAGTATGGACCAGATGTTCCCAACTGTTTCCCCTAAATACACGCGTCATTATCTCATGATGTCAATCACAGGATTGTCTGGTCCAGCCCCGATTATTTACGGAACGCCGTCAACCAGCTGTAAACACACAAACACATATTCATTATATAGTCAGAAGTAGCAGAACTTTTTTTGTGGTTAAGGGTTTTGTCACTTTTATTCTTTATACAGTTGACTGGAGCTGTGGTTTAGCGAACAGAGCCTCAGTCCGGAGAAAAGGATGCCGTTTGCTCGAAACCAGACACCAGGGAGTTGTACCTAAAACTTGACTGTACGGGAACCTGACCTTAAAACTCATTTGACAACTGACCCTTGAACACAACCCTCACCCTCCTCCCTCCTGGAGGCGTTGGCTCAACGTTCTGGTCAAAGTCAATGTGGCACGTCGCCATGACCCAACATCAAGACGCAGAATGACAAGTGGAGCCACATCCAGCACCGAACAACGCGGTAACTCAGCTCCTCTCCATCAGTGCATTGATCTCGGGTATCTGTACCACCCCCGGATGAAACTTTGAGCGGAACCAGTCGATCGGGTGGTCATGTTTGTAAACATAGCTTAAATGTCCCTATACCTAACTATATACGTAACGAACCATAACCCAGACACACCATTATTGCAAGTGGGACCACCCGCTTCTGGCTCCGATACAACAAACTCTCCCACCGATCAACGGGTTTGGTTAGTACTAGAGCTGGGACGAGTCCAAATTTTCTATCCGCCCTATTACCCTACCCTACCCGGATACCCAATATGTTAATTCCTGACATCAAATTTGTCAGAAATGACAATATATTCTTCGGACTCTAAAATTTCGAGTTTTTCAGTATTTAAATAATGTATTATATTCAAAACTAGTGACTGTAAATAATGTCTGAATCTTCAAAGACAATACAGACTTTCGATAATGAGAGAATAACATATCACATTGTTTAATCTATTAGTTACATGATCATAACGGGTCCGGGTATGGAGTCGGGTACCCGGGTCCAACTCATTACCCACCCGTCCCAGCCCTAGTAAGTACGACATCTGTAGGAGTCTGTCAGTGGCATCTAGTCGTCGGGATCTGTTAGATAGTTACTGTCACCGTGACTATCATACTGTCAGTCAAACTGTGGCAATTAAAATGCAAGGAATTAAAACATGCAAGCTTTTCTTGATAATGTCGCTGATCTATTCGAGTTTACTACAGTTATAACGAATAGGGACCACCTCCTAGTTCGTTCGTTATCTGCATTCCGACTCAAGGTACAGCAAGCATCCGGGACCCCTAAAACAGTCCGTGATATCCTTCATTTCGTTATAAACATAGTTGACTGTACAGCAAGGGCATTCTTTAAAACACCACATGTGTTAAATCTTTACCTATCTCCATTATTTACTGATTGTCAATAATGTGTTGCTAAGGTATGAACAGAAACCTGACAAGGACAAATGCAGCATGACAATACTGATTATGTTCAATGGCTGGCATCTGCGAAGCTTGAGATCGATAGCATCAGGTGACATTTTGCAAGCCTGCACAGTAACATGCACACTTCGGAATGCACCTAGCTGATTGGTTAACGATGACGAAGCTGTTGGAATCAGGACAGTATATAAGAGCTGACATCGTACTTATTGCGTGTTTTATTCAATACGGGGTTTGCAGCTAAGGTTGTTTCGACCAGGCTCTGTGGTAGTCAGGACAGGTAGGTGTCACTTTCTTCATTTTACTTTCCCAGCTTGTCCAAGACTGAATCCGCCATGAAGGTTACCTTCAAATAATTCTACAAGGAAACACACAAATATTGAACAACTGCAAAACAATATTTCTGTTATCCTGTGAAATCTACCCTGAGGCCGACCCCACCTTACCACTATAACAAGAGCATTTGTCAATGATTCGCTATCAAACTAGGGACGACTACAGCGTTCACGCGGAAGGCCCGATTCCCCATATGAGTAAAATGTGTGAAGCCCATGTCTTGTGTTGTGATATTGCTGGAAGACTGTTAAAAGCGGCGAAAAACTAAACTCACTCGCTCACTATCAAATTGGGGACGATGAGGTAGCCAAGTGGCTAAAGCTTTCACGCCGAAGACTCGGGTTCTATTCCCCGCATGGTAACAACGTGTGAAGCCCGTTTCTTGTGTCCCCCGCCGTGATATTGCTGGAATACTGCTAACAGCGGCGTAAAACTAAACTCACTCACTATCAAACTGTGTTGGCATAAGGAGTTTTCCAGCGTATCCTGGCACCCGTCACAAACACATGTGAGGACACGACAACTCTCATATAGCCACGTATACATACACATATAGCATGACGGCATAACTCAAATCAATATGTATATTGATTGACCCACTGAAATGGCTACAGCAAACAGCTGGTGAAGTGAACGCATGACTGTCCTGGTTGCTGCCTCTTTAACATGTAAATTATACAGGTCAAATTACGTGTGTACGTTTATGTAAAGGTAAACCTTTCCTTGGATGTCCTTCGCAAGACCTCTCTGGCTCTGGTATGCAATATAAGTTACCTTTCTATGAAATCGTTTTAAGATTTGTCGTTTGTAAAAGCTGATATAATTCTTTCTACATTTCATCACAGAGACAACGGCGAGTGGTGACATACGAACCAGGGATCTGTTCAAACTTCGGGGCCATGTCTGAAGCTAAGGGGGCGTACCACGTCGCACCGTCTGGCTTTCAGACGAACAAACACTTAGAGTACAGTTCTCAGCATATGAATGACCAAAATACATGTCTTTCACGGCCAAAGAAAGGTAGAAAGGGAAAGATGCAACATGCCAACCAGTCTTTACAATCTGACCAAAAGCCAAACAGCTGTAAGAAGCGTCTCTGTAATCGTCCTCAAATCGATATACGGCGCATTGTACAAATCGGGCACAATAGAAACACCATTTCTTTTATTCAAAAGAAAGACTCCAAGGCTAGCGTTAGTAATACAACTATTGTACAACTCGGGCACAACAACATTGTATATATATACTTAGATGACAAACTCCCCACGAACATACTGCTAGGAGACACGGTCGTCGTGTACGTCCCCCCTGGGTGTGACGGCAGGCCCCGAGTGTTTGTCTGCGAACAGATAGGACCTGACAACCAGATCGTCACCCACTGTCGCCACAAGTCGCCACGGATCTATGAACGACAGACATTCGGCAACTTCCGGTCACGACACTGTCACGTGATCAGATCTGTCCTGCTGCCAGCTGCTTCCGGCTCCAGTAAGAAAGGTAATTGTTGCTATGGACGGAGGGCACTTTGCGTCTGGCATTGTCAGTTATGTTACACTGTTAGTAAAGTAAAAAAATAAATTAACAAGGCTAACGGCCCAAGTACAGTGTAGATGCAAGTATCATATACGAAGTGGTGGCACAATAACACGAAATTATGCAGTTAACATCCAATTATAAATATAATAATAAAGAACGTAAGGCGATGACATCTTAGAACTATGTCGCACACAACAGTACCGTATGTGTATAACATAAAACGTTTTGCATGGGTTCCCTGAGTCAAGAACATGACAATAATAAAGATAAAGAAGTTTGTGGTAATGTTCTGAGAGAGTGTACATTTTGTTTTTAAAAAATGGTATTGGAAAAGTATTTGTGTGTTAAAACATCATACATAGGGCACACTGACATAAAATGTAACTCGTCTTTATAATGTATTTACTAAAAGGATAACATGTAATGTTTAAAACAATACCCTCCGGCGAGCCAAGATTTTGTTTTCCTACCTTGGAATTCTCAAATTCTTAATAATGATGAGTATTTTGTTCGGTCTTTTTAAAAAAATGTCTAAATACTTTTAGTAAAATTTCAATCATGTCACAATACGTTATCACTGAGTCTGCTACTAGCCGGGCTTGGTATCATTTGCATTTTAATTACTGTAACAATGTCATGATCATGATACACAATACAATAACAGTAACCGAAGTACAACAACATTACAACATTGAATTAATAATGCTATTTAAGTGTCTGTAGTAGTTGTAGTCTAGGGCCCCTGAAAATTCAGAGTAAGAGTCCAAGGGACCCTCAAATACAAGGAATTGATGGGTAGATGATTGACCATTGATTTAATCCAGTTTCATCCCACTCACTCACTCTTTCACTCAAGAAGAGTAAAATATATGAACAATTAACCAACTTAATGGACATTGAGTATTTTCAAATTGTTTATATACATGTTTCCATCTTGTCAGCTGCGGGCCGTCATAAGCCTTTGACTCCCGGGGACTGCGATGTCGTGACCATCAAGCATGGTGGCTCTCATCGGACTCGCACAAGAAAAAGAGTGAAACCTCACAGCAGGAAGTACCCGCTTCTTCATCCCATCGGGGTCAAGGACACCAGAAAACTGTGAACCCTGTCTGCCTGAGAAGATACATCTCTTGAACGTTTTGGTTTCTCGTATCGATTTACAGATAACATGTTTGAGCGGCATTTTAGAAGTTGTGACGCACAATATAGAACAAAGTTATTATGGATAACAACTTCTTTATTTCAGTGAGTGCGACGTTTCGATACAGATTTTGTACCGTTGTCAAGCAAGACAACGGTACAAGAATCTGTATCGAAACGTCTCACTCACGAAATAAAGAAGTTGTTATCCATAAAAACATGTTCTATATTTATTTATAGAGAGATTCTCAGGCAGTTTCGAAAAGATTACGCCTATTCCTGTTAGGGATACCTTGTAAGCCATATTGGCTCAAGTCTAAGACATTTGTACATTCACTAGGCATAACTTACAATGCTAGTGTACTTGTATATTGTACTGTCAGCTTGTATAACATATACACATGTATATTAATTATATACCATGTGATCCTGTAAGTCATATTGGTTCTATCAATGACAGCTGTAAGTTTATTATACATAAGTTGCAATGGTAGTTTATGTTGCACTGCCAACTTCTATAACATATACACACGTATATTTATTATATACCATGTGCTCCTGTAAGCCATATTGGTTGCATCAATGTCAGCTGTACGTTTATTATACATAAGTTGCAATGTTAGCATATATATTGTACTATCAGCTTGTATAGCATATACACACGTATTTTTATTATATACCATGTGCTCCTGTAAGCCATATTGGTTGTATCAATGTCAGCCGTACATTCACTGTACATAACTTGCAATTTTAGCATCTATATATTGTACTATCAGCTTGTATAACAGATACACACGTATTTTTATTATATACCATGTGCTACTGTAAGCCATATTGGTTGTATCAATGACAGCTGTTCGTTTATTATACATAACTTGCAATGTTAGCATATATATTGTAATGTCAACTTGTATAGCATATACACATGTGCATTTATTATATACCATGTGATCCTGTAAGCCATATTGGTTATATCAATGACAGCTATAAGTTTATTATATATAACTTGCAATGGTAGTTTATGTTGCACTGCCAACTTCTATAACATATACACGCGTAGTTTTATTATATACCATGTGCTCCTGTAAGCCATATTGGTTGTATCAATGACAGCTGTTCGTTTATTATACATAAGTTGCAATGTTGGCATATATATTGTAATGTCAACTTGTATAACATATACACATGTATATTTATTACATACCATGTGATCATGTAAGCCAAATTGGCTATATCAATGACAGCTGTAGGTTTGTTATATATAACTTGCAATGTTAGCATATATTGTACTATCAGCTTGTATAACATATACACCTGTATTTTTATTATATACCATGTGCTCCTGTAAGCCTAAGGTTATGACAGCTGTAAGTTTATTATACATAACTTGCAATGTTAGTATATGTATTCTATTTCTAGAGGACATACATGAATATCTGGTATATGCTATGTACCCTTGTAGTCTTATTAATAGTCTTATATACAATCTTATGAAAGACATACAAATTTCTATGCTTAATATTACACCCTACCACTGCAGTGTGTCACATCGGTAAGGCACGAATCTGGATGTTAACGCGTATCACTGTAATTGATTTCTTAGTGTATAGTCCTAGGCCAAATGTTAGAAAAGTCCCTATCTTTTAGGATCTCTCAGCAGCAGTAAAAGCGTTATCCAGTAATTGGTATGACAACTCCCACCCTCCAGAGAGATTCTTGTCAATGTGGAACTAGACACAGAATGTATCAGGTTGCTGAAAACAAACAAGGTTTACCCTGCTGTTGAAACAGTGTCCACATGTTCATAGACCAACTGCATGAGTATTAACTGCATGGTTTAATGGACGGTGACAAGCACTGGTGTTCAACATGATCAGGATATGCAGTATGGGTGATAATACCTGGTGTATCATATTACCTGATAATGATGTCATCTCTACATTTGGCCTAGGAGTATGTATAGCTGAGACACACAGAGATGTGGTATGTTATCATTCTGGTTGTACCCATCCTTTTTATGTTGTTCTTTTTTTTATTGTCTGAACACAGTTTTGAGTAATGTGCTTGTGTACATGAATAAAATGTCTAATGAATCTATATCATTGTTATTCTTGTATTTATAACTATCTGTATTGAGACATATAGGTTCAAGTCTTTTCGGGATGGTGGGATAGCCTAGTGGTTAAAGCGTTCGCTCATCACGCCGAAGACCCGGTTTCGATTCCCCACATGGGCACAATGTGTGAAGCCCATTTCTGGTGTCCCCCGCCGTGATATTGCTGGAATATTGCTAAAAGCGGCGTAAAACCCAACTCACTCACTCACTCACTCAAGTCCTTTCAAACAATACATCTAGAAATTGTACCTATATTGCAAACACATAGTAGATTTCAGTCGTATTTGTACACTTTGGATATATATATAACTAACAAAGCGCTAAAACCTTTGTATCTAATCGATATATCATTGGAGTAAAATCACACATGGTGCAAGTTGGTAAGTACTCATGGTTCGATAAGAACGATTGTCTGAAGTATCCAAGATCACTCCATCATAGCTGCATTAGACACTGAGATCAGGGTAACGATTTGGTTGGTTGGTCGGTTTGTTGTTTAACTCCCAACTCAGCAATATTCAAAGTATGTGGAGGCTGTCTGTAAATAATCAACTCTGGACTAGGCAATCCAGTGATCAACATCATGAGCATCGATCTACGCAATTGGGATACGATGACATGTGTCAGCGAGTTTGCGAGTCTGACCCGCTCCCGATCCCGTTAGTCGCCTCTCACGACAAGCATGGGTTACTGCAGACCAATTCTCACCCGGATCTTCACGACTTCGGGTAATGAATAATCCTCAAGAATGAACACGAAGGGAATATCGATAAACATCAGAGCATGTACTATATAAGAACCATTATTTGATGCCATCTGGAACAAAAATAATAATGGTATTTTTTCAATTAATCGCAAATTAATCATCCAACCTTAACTGTTAGAAACTGTTTTAACAAAGTCACCACCAACTGAAAACAACCAAGCAAACGTGTTGCATGATTGAAAGCAGAAGAATTGCAAGCGAGCGTGGCGAGAACATTCCGTGTGTGTAAACTCTAGTAAGTGAACCTGTCGCATGGTACGTCATGTGACCGGTCCAAATCAGACCGATCCTGCGTCACAACGTCATACTGCAGCAATCCTATCTCCATCGTGGCTTCACAGCTGAATCATCGACTACAGCAGATTCTGGGATTGCCAAAGACATCAAACCAGACATTGGTGAACCACCTTGGAGAGGTTGGGGTCAGAGCCAGACCTGCTGTAACACGTGTACCAATGTTCACTGTACATCTTTACACCATGTGGCTCTTTTCAGTAGAACTTTGTCAACTGGCTGTTTTGAGAACGTAATGACGAGGATTGTGTTTCTTTCAGTTTTATTCAGTTTGATCTTCAAAGGGTTTGTAATTGTAACTTTTACACGAACGTCCTGTAAATAACAATGATGCATGTTATGTTCCATACATTTCAGGCTCAACAAATATTTTTAAAATATTAAATGGTAAATTTCATACAATTATGTCTTGTAGTGCCTTGTGTTAGTTGTGTTTCATGGTTTGCTATATTCAATAATATTTCAATTACCACCGAGGCTAATTTACAGCATCCTCGATAATGTCCAGGATATACGTTCCGATAAATCTCCACTACTAGAACGCCTACCCAGGAGATTATCGAGGAGGAATGTATAGAAGTGTACCCTAACTGAACCCACCACGAATCATAATCAGTTCCAATCTGGGACTCGAGCCCATGACAAGTGGCCTAAGTTTAAGCCCATTTATTCGAGTTTGACTCAACAAGCCACCTATCCTCATCGCACTATTTAATCGGTGGTGTAACAATAAATGTTATTGTGTCAATGTGTTCTTTCTTCAAAGACTCCATGGTGTCGGTCGGTTCCACCTGGCCTTTCTTAGCCTGACTGCAGCACACCACACTTCCAAATATAATCAGTCCAAGGAGCACCGTGCTCCCGAACCCGCCAACCGCCACCAGGAACCCGCTGCCTAGACCGTCAGCTGACTCCACCGGAGTTGCAGTTGTAGTCGTTGACGTAGTTGGGTCGGAGATGGAGACACTTGAAGCTGAGATTATGGTCCCGTCGGGTTTCATCCAGGTCACATTCGGAAACAGATCACCCTTAATTTGACATGAAATGTGTAGCAGATCTCCCTGTTTCGGGTATAGAGATCCCCGCACTTTAGAATTTTGGGGGGAATACAAGTGAAGTCCTTATCTTCTGCATGGTAAATCGTATGGTATTTCAGTACACTTGGAGCAGCGCATGCCGGAACATTGCCCGAGTACACGTAGTACATCACGCTCTAGTTGAGGTTCTTCAGCCACTGAATGTCGCATGTGCATCTCCAGGGGTTGTCTGAAAGATGGATGATCTGCAGCTTCTGGAAGATCAGCTCGAACGAATCTGGAATAGTTGCTAATTTATTGTCGGACAGGTCTAGAGTCATAAGGCTTGTCAAATGTTGAAATAATTGCACAGATACCTTTTCAAAATTGTTTCCATGCAGATCAAGGTTTCTGAGATTTGTCAACCCAGTGAACATGGCACTGGAAGCACGTCCAAGGTTAGGGTCACCAAAAAATAGATCATGCAGGTTCTTCAAGGATGCAAATGCGTCATCGGCGATCTTACATCCCGTGTTTCCAGTCAGATCCACGAAGACAACATCATTTAAGCCATGGAAGATGCCAGTGTTTATCTGGGAGATCGTATTATGTTTCAGGGCAATGCGTTTTAGTTTAGTCAATCCTTGGAACAAGTCATAGTCCAACTTTGTCACCTCACTGTAAGTAACGTAGAAATCTTCAAGATTCGAGAACGCTGACAAAGCTGAGTGTTTCAATGTTGATACATGTCGGTGTTGAAAATGGGGTCTTTGTTATTGTAACGATTTTCGTGTCTCGAACCTGCATAAATAACGTTTGCGTACACGGAAAGATTTACGAAAACTGTCGATGTTTACCGAAGAGAGGCCAGACATTTATTCAAAGCAGAGGGTAGTGCTAATGCGAGGGTCAGTGTTCAAATATCAAAAGCGGGTAGACAAATTGAATACAATGAGCAGAAAGGTAAAAGAATAACCTACAAGCTCAAAACAATGTTTTGTGAAAAACGTAAGTTTTGATTGCACCGCACGTTAAAATAGTCGGGCTGTCCGGTTTTCGATAAGGCTTTGAGCATCGCGAGTGTCATCCTTTGAGTATTGTATGTAATGAGTGTAGCGGTAGAATTTTCTTAAAAATTCATTTCTTCACAGATCTCGTTCAAATTTGAAATATAGGTTATTTATAACATAAAAAAGAACAATATACGATTGCAAAAGTCTAGATTTTTATTTGTATTGTCCAAACAGTGATTCGAACTCCTGTGGTTATATAATGCATACTATAATCAATATTTTAACAAAGCGCGACACGCGACAATGCGACAAAGCGACATTTCATCAAAATGTTGCGTTGTCGCATTGGCGTGTCGTGTTTTATTAGTTACCGCGGAATTTCAAAATTATTACAAGGATGATTATGTTTAGATGTTTTTAAAGGGCTAAGATACACAGGGATCGAACTCAGAGTAATAATAAATGTGGCCGTGTGGTTAAGAGATCTTGGTTAATGGAATGGATGTGTTGAAACTGGCCATTTTGCTGAAAATTATTTTGATTGAGTAGGTGTATGTTTGAAACGATACAAATGCATGTGTATCACTTGGTATATTATTATTATTATAAATAATATAGGATTCACATAGAATTCAAAAACAGACATCACAACACATTATTGTAATGAAATATCTTGCTAATTTACCAAGTTCCCTAAACCTTGAGTGAGTGAGTGAGTGAGGAGTGAAAGTGGAGTGGAGTGGAGTGGAGCGGAGAGGAGAGGAGAGGAGTGGAGTGGAGTGGAGTGGAGAGGAGAGGAGCGGAGAGGAGAGGTGCGGTGCGGAGAGGAGAGGAGAGAGCGGAGAGGAGAGGAGCGGAGAGGAGAGGAGAAGAGAGGAGTGGAGCGGAGAGGAGAGAGGAGAGGAGAGGTGCGGAGAGGAGAGGAGAGGAGGAGAGAAGAGAAGAGAGGAGAGAGAGAGTGAGTGGAGGAGAGGAGCGGAGAGGAGATGAGAGGAGAGGAGCGGAGAGGAGAGAGAGAGAGTGGAGCGGAGAAGAGCGGGGTGGAGAGGAGTGGAGCGGAGAAGAGCGGAGAGGAGAGGAGAGGAGAGGAGTGGAGAGAAGAGAAGAGAGGAGAGGAGAGGAGTGGAGTGGAGAGGAGAGGAGCGGAGAGGAGAGGAGAGATGAGGAGAGGAGAGGAGTGGAGAGGAGAGGAGTGGAGCGGAGAAGAGCGGGGTGGAGAAGAGCAGAGCGGGGCGGAGTGAGAGAGGGAGGGTTGGTTTCTGCCACTCCAAGGGTACGCAACTCTGCTAAGCGATTTCATCGTTTCTAATACCATAATGATAATAGTCCATTTGTATGGCGTTTTCCCAAGTAGAATATCACGTTCAAAGCCGACCTAAACTGTCTTTGAGGTGCTGGATGGTTAAGTGATATTACCATCTCATTCTACCTGGTATCCATCCACTGCTGGTTGAACAGAGGCAGATGTCGGACAAATTCATCAGCGTCGGACAGGACTGTACCATGAAACTCTGTCAGGAGCCACACTGTCGAACATAGTGACCCATTGGAGGACTTCACCTGATGTTTATGCCCATGTGGCCTGAATTTTAACAATATTTGAGTTTTTTCACAACCTGTGAGCTTGATATAAGAGAAATGTTCAAAGTGATGAATATGTATGGTGCTGGGACTCGAACCTATGATCATAGTTATCTAGTGTGACTAAGAGACACAACCCTGCATAGCAAATTGCCTCGCCTTGAATGACAGGGCCACCGTGTGCCGTGATTACAATGAATAGTAGCGCTAATAATTTGTCTGGCTGCTAAAACACACTTGATTGGCTAAACACAGTTACAATATATAAAATAATGAAGCAACAATGAAAGATTTCCATTAAGTTCAAGAAAAGCAGCCCCATTGCCATTACGAGCACTACTACATTGTAAAAACCATTAGAGGTAACAAAAGGCCAGTCTAGTCTCAAATAGAGTATAACATTGTCTGCGCATGCGTAGACTAATTGACTTTCTACACATGCACACCGGTAATCGAAAAGGGCGAAAACGCGACACGCGACAATGCGACAAATATGTCGCATTGCCGCGTCTTAGTCATATGTTATAATACATACTATACTCAATATTTTAACAAAGCGCGACACGCGACAATGCGACAACGCGACATTTCATCAAAATGTTGCGTTGTCGCATTGTCGCGTGTCGCGTTTTAGTAAATTTTTAGGCTGTTTATACACATCTTACATAGGGCGATGCGCGACAACGCGACATATTTTGACCTTGAAAGTTGTCGCTATGTCGCGTGTCGCCCTTTGGAGGAATGAAAAAATATATTATTCAAAACGCGACACGCGACATCGCGACAATGCGACAAATGGGCGAAATGTCGCGTTGTTGCGATGTCACATGTCGCGTTTTGTTTAATTTTGCTTGTATTTGAGAGGGCGACAACGCGACAATGCGACAACGCGACAATGTCCCTTCCAGGATTCCATACGGAATCGCAAAAGCACTAGCTTCAACTTGTTATGTACTATGTCCAGATGTACAAAGCACACGAAAAAAGACAATATAAATCGTTTGTTTTACAGCTCAAAGAATGACAGTTTGAGCGGTGCGCTGTCATAGCTGACACTGCTAAATATATTGCAAGGAATATTTCTTTAAAAAATGTCTTCATCGGGTTCTTATGTTGTAATACCCCCATTTCACTGGGCTGCGATCGGTCCGATTGCATTTGTAAAAAAAATCGCCAGCGATTGCATAATGTCGGAAATATACCTGGAGTAGTCGGCAGAGATAAGCAAGATACGTGAGTGTGTCTGCATAGTAAGCGTGAACGAGTTCTACCATTATTGAGAGGCAGAAACGGCCACGTGTCATCCTCGTAATGCCAGGCTTCACACCCGATCAACCACGATTAACGCCTAATACATCTCCAACATGGAACCGAAAAGCTAATTGCCTAACAAAGCAGAGCTGTCAAAAGCCACGAATCAGCACGATTCCTCCCAAATAAGACAAGGTCCACTTACATAATGTTCAGGCTATACTCACGATTTGCACGATTCACATCAGACTGACAGAAAAAGTATATAAGCACAGACGATCGAAGTCAACATCACTCCAATTGCAACTGCTGTAATGAAAACATTGGAACATGGCAAGAACAAAGAGAACAGCCAACAGGAAGAGGGTTAGATCACCCACCCCACCACCCTGTTGCAAAGTGTTGAGAAGACATTGCCATCGATTTGCAAGAATACCAAAGGCATTCTCAACGACTCTCCTAGTCTGTCTCACAGTCCCTGAACCACATTATTTCCCCTACTGCCAAGCCCTCTCTGCTGTGCTAAAGCCCTAAATACAGCAAGTCTAGATTTCCTCAGTCTCCCTAGGACTCCTTTTCAATATAAATGGGCTTGTTTGTTACTATCAAAATTATATATATTCAGAGATTAAGCCTTAGTCTACGACTCTCCTTGCACTGGAGATCCTGTAGTTGGCAATCAGTTCAGCTTCTGACAGACCTCTTCTTGAGTAGGGTTTCATTTGACGAAGGGCAAATGCATCATCTGCAAGTATGAAGTAAGGCATATCCAGATCACTATTTGGCAATGGTTCAGGTTTGGGCAAGCATATGTTGTCATTTTCTTTACACTCCTTCGACTCTGCGGCATTGAAGATTTGTGCATCTGACATATGACCCAGGCCTCCGACGTCCACCCACAGAAATCTGTAATTAGCATCTACAAGGGCCAACAGGACAATGGAGAAGAAACCCTTGTAGTTGTGGTAGAGGCTTCCACTACCATGTGGCTTACGAATCGCGATGTGTTTTCCATCGAGGGCAGCAACAGCATGAGCGAGATTCCTTCTCAGCTCGAATTCCAGAGAGATGATCTTCCAATCCCCTTGAGTGACAGGACATGCAATCACTGTATCCTTGTAGTGGTCTACGATGGCTTGGCATACCTTTAGGAGAAAGATGGCTTTGGGATGTCTTGACACTCTGAGTGGGAGGGGTGCTTGTCTCCAGAGGCTAGGTGTCTTATGGTAACTGCTAACTGCTAACAGACAAGGGTGCAGAGCTAACCTGAAGTTGGTGTCTTTCCAGGTAAGTCTAGGAGACAGCGAATTAAGCAGTTCATCAAACATAGCAGGAGGCATTTGCAGATAGTTTAAGAAAGAAGACGTGTCTTCGAATCTGAGTTCAGATAGGAGATTGTCATAGTTTCATAAGTGAAATCTTCTTTCCAACCACGGACGTACCCAAAACCGTTTCTGTTTTCTTCTTCTTCTTGGTGTCTGGTTTCTTCTGTATTGATAGATATCTATCTCGAGTCCCATACGTTGTTGCAGCAGAAGAAGTAGTTGTGCAGCTGTGAGCAGGTTGCTAGATAATTAGAATCAGCTGTAATCGTCAGCTTTTATAGCCCAGAATCGGGTCCATTTTGTGGTTTGGAGGCCGATTTTATGTCTTCCTAGGCAATTATGTACGTACTTTACTCGGCGTCGATCGGTAATCTTCGCGTGTTATCGGCAATTACAGCAATGAGTCTTCGATATTGTAAGCTTAACATCACTGTGTCGGTGAGCATCGTGAGGAATAGGGAGTGAATCGTAGATATATCGCCGCAGAAACGTGATTTAAACGTAGCCAATCGGCCAACACTGGGTGAAACAGTATCAACAATGGGTGCTCAATCGCAGTGTTATCGGCGTTTATACACGTAAGTTCACAGTCCATTACGTAGGTTTACCGTAGATACTGCATAGAAAAGGAAAATATATACAAAACTGGCCGATTTAGAACGATAACATCGTAGGTGACGAATCGGCACTAGTCGGGGTAGTCTTGATAGGTCGTAGCCCAGTGAAATGGGGGCATTATATATATAAATGTCGCTTCTGGGTCCCGATCCACAAAACATTCGTAGCGCTATGACATTCGTAAGCCTATGATAAACTATAGATTACGACCTGTCGTAACTTTACGAACGCTCTGTGAATCGGGACCCTGATCTAGTCAGTGATAACCAGAATGCTATTCAAACACCTGTCTGCGTCGTCTCAAAAGATTCTACCTATACCCCGCCATCATTCGGAGGGAGGGGAATAACCCAAGAACTGACAAATTTGGAGTGCATTATTAATGTAAAAATCGGTTGACAAGCACAAAATTACAGAAGTCCGGACAAATACGGGTAGTCGGACATATATGTGGCAGGGGCGGATACAGCATTTCGAGAAAGGTGGGGTGCACAGTTCAGTTTCATCGTTTTCACGAGAGAGTTTCAATGGTCATATCAACTTTCAGGACAAAAGAGGGGAGCACCCCCAACCCCCTCTGCATCCGCCTATAATATGTGTGTTGCTATGTAGCTCAAACGAAACAGCTACCTCACGTTAAACCCCATTCACCTTTTCAAACGTAAATCGCCCCGCTCTCTCTCTCTCCCTCCCCCTCTCTCTCTCTCTCTCTCTCTCTCTCTCTCTCTCTCTCTCTCTCTCTCTCTCTCTCTCTCTCTCTCTCTCTCTCTCTCTCTCTCTCTCTGTGTATATATATATATATATATATATATATACATACAGGAACGATGAAACAAACCTATGAGGAAAAAGTAATTGCTTTGTATCAATCCGTTGAACCCAAATGTGTTCCAGGACATAAAAAACACATTTGTGCATCTTGATGAAAAACTCAAATCAATGCTGAAATCTAAAAAAATAATAAAGAGCAAAAGACAAAATCAGAATCTTAAAATGATGCTAACAAAAGCCAAATTTATTTTAAACAAACAGAATTTATTAAATCCTACTGTGTCTAACTGTGGAACGTGTCGACATATTGTTACAATACATTTATAACATAACATGTATACATTGCATGCTAACAAAAAAACACACAACATTTTAACATAGAATACCACAATATACCATAACGTACAGCTCAGGACATCACCACATAAGTTTATAACATAACTCAACTCAACAAATTTACATGAGGAAAGGGTCTCTTTTTAAGAATAACTCTATAATAAAACTCCCTGAGTAGCCGAGCCCTAGTTCATCAGATATGTATGTCGCGACAACTGAAAGATTCTGGTGATAGGTTACCGAAAACACGGAGTTAACATGATCAAACAAACCTACTACAGAAAAAATATGTACCCACGATCTTGAAGCTTAAGCTGTTTTAAAATAGAATTAATTGAAAACAAAACCCAAACGCGTACGAGCAATGTGTCCGTGTTGGAAATGTCGGAAAGCGCACGTAAAATCTCTAAATCATCCTCACAGTCTCGAATGTCGGCTCAGGCGGGTTCAACAGGGCGCAGCAGTCAAATAGTGACGACAATGATAAGAATAGACTACACAAGCTGGTCAAATCCTTTATTAGGAAAACAGGCTGTCACTTCAGAAGAAAAGAAGGTACACTGTTAGAACTTGGATATCGCCGTTTATGTAACTGTACTTATCCCCAGAAAATGGCCGGAAACGAGGTAGGTGGTGTGGGGACGAAGGACATGAACGTGACCCAGATTGGGTCAAACAATGAGGTTCGGATACAGAAAACAGACATGGGGGACGTGAACATCAACATTATCTTAATCGTCCAGCCGGCAGACCCGAATCAGGCCCAGAGTAAGTACAAACTGAAAGATTAGAAGACATTTTATTCAAGTCCTTCAAATTCACTTTGTTGTTAAAGGAGATCAGCTGAATATAAACTGAACTGTTTTTCGATAAATGCCAATGTGAAAAAAAAGGTTTGTGTAAAAAAGAAATAGTAATAGCAATAGTCCTCTTATATGGTGCTCATATCAAGGAACATTGCCTACTCACGGCGTTACGTACATCACTATCCCCGTTCACAGGACACTATCGTACTTTCCGATACTTTTTAAACTCCCTGGGGATCATACATCCATGCTGCCAGTTAGGCGCAATGAACTAAACACTCATATTGCCAGCACATGGGTACCCGACCTATTCGGTGTGTCGGTGGTAGTATTTGATATTATATTCATGATCAATTATTCATGATCAGAGCCCGGTCCATTTTCTTCCAAGTTAACTGTTTTTATTGGATGGTGTAGTTTCTACTGTTTGTTGATTTCACAGGATGGGATGCTTTAATTGCCCGAATCCCACTACCAAGAGTTATCTCCTGCCAAATGTTATATTATGTGTTTATATCTAGGATAAGTTATTCTTTGACAAAAAAAAGTAAAACGTTTTCAGGTTCGAGAAGCGTGAATGTGGTCTGCACGTTTAGAGACATATTGTGGTAGTTTGGGAAGTGATTATGTCAGTTTTACTCGTTAAGCAAATTTGTCTGTGTTTAATAGTATTTTGTTCTTTGTGCCTTAGATGTTAGAAAGACAGGTGGTGTTTGACCAGACCAGTAAAAAAAGTACAATTGTTTGAGGCATTTATTTTGTGTATGCAATACCGTCATTAGAATTTCGGTTACACTTGGAAATGTACTGGTTATACACACGGTCGTAATATTGCTGTTGAAAGCGGCGTAAAACTAAACTCACTCACTCACCTTTGTTTCAGATTCTGTGGCAAATGGTGAAGTCCTTGGCAACTGCCGAGTGGAGATCAGCTGTCAGGGAAAGCGGAGAAACGCAGACCAAGGTCAGCACCAGGAAGGACGAAATTCCACATGACTCTGAGAAGTCATTGTAGAGATCCATAGATGATACATACCTGTATTTAAACAAACACAAACACGAAACAAAAACGGTCCTTAATGGTACATACCTGTACTCGAAGAAAAACAAAAGTGTAAATAGAACACACAAAAAAAACCAAGCATTTTTGGGGGTGGTGTGGTGGTGCCAACAGAGATACTATTTTGTCGGTCACTGTCACAGTGAAAACACACCACCACCCCTCTCATACAGCAAGGTCTTGCAGCTAAAGCCAAGAAGGTACCCGCTGTTGAGAGTCTGAAGTACTCCACGAGGTTAAGCAGGCCTTATCCTGGGGAGCAAGCCAAAGGCCCGTCTGTGCCTATAGATAGCTATACTGAACAAAGACACTATATTTCCTTGATCAGTATATGTTCGGAAACAGGTAACAAATATATGTCGCTAATGCTGTCCAAAACAGGTGGTACCCACAAACGAGAGTCTGAAGAACTCCACGAGGTATAAATACGCCTTAGACCGCGACACTAGCCAAAGGACCGTCTGTGCCTATAGATAGCTATACTGAACAAAGACACTATTTTTCCTTGATCAGTGTATGTTCGGAAACAGGCCAACAACAAACAAAAACGAAAAAAAAAGACTCATAATGGAAAAAAGGAACAGAAAAAAGCGAATGATTTTCATGCATTTTGTTCCTACAGTTAGTTACTAGCTTCAGTGTTGTTTTTAGAATCTATGTAGATGATCCACATGTGCACTGGTCCATCGACTTGTGTCGACCAAGTCGGGCTTTTACATAATGTCCGTTATCAGTTGGGACTGGAATATTTCTTAGTCACATAAGTATATATTTTATTCATATGATCCTCACTGGCTTATCCCAATATTTCTTTGATTGGCAAAGGCATTCAGTATTAAAATGTCACATTTTGGCATCTGATATGAGAAAAGGCTTTGAAAATTATTATGACGATAAATAATTAAATCAAATAATGAGTTATGGAAAAGTATTGAAGTAGCCTGAAGTACAATTATGAATGATTTGCCGGGCCATCTAATACAACTACCTATGAACAAAAAGACAACCTTCATTCGTTTTCATTCCGTTTCGAGAATGAAGATGTCGTGCTTCTTCATGGGACATGATTTCAGGAATACAGTTCGCTCAACCCCAATGTATAGTGCAATCAAGTACGCTTTTGCCCTGAACTATTATAGTGAAAGTACGAGGACGTTCGAGTGATTTAACATTTTAACAGTGTGTTATGCAAACCATGAAACGGGGTGCTACGAAGTAGGTTACTGTAGGTGACTGTACGAGGCGATGACAACTGACATGCATCGTGACGTCGGTTACCAAGGGTACGTTTGATAACGAGGGGACAGACGAGAATGGCGTAGTTACGTCAATACAGTGTGACGTAATACAAAATGTGTACTTTATCCCCCGATGCCTTTGATCTTTCAGCGAAGTATCTTAGATAAAACTTTAATAGATAAGTC